TTGGCTAGTTTAATTTGATTAATTAATAAGACTAGATTAATTTCATTTAAAATAAATTTGATCCGATTTTTTTTCGTATATTCAACTTCGATACGTGCGACCAGTATAATAGATCAAGCGGACAAAGAATATAAATTATTTTAAAATGTGCTTTCAGAAAGGAAAAATATCTCGAAAATTATCTAAACAAACATTTTTTTTTCTTATCAGTGAAAAACATCGACCTCGTCGGCCTTGCGGAATTTGTCGGGTATTTACAATGGTCGAATTGTATAATTACCAGCTTTTAATAGCATATCTAATAGACAAAAAGTATCTGGTCGATTAGTAACCAATTGGCACAGTCCGAAAATTATCGATTTTTATTTTCTCTGTTTTTATTGGCCGCTTCAAAATTCAGAGTAACAAAAAATATTTTTCTCTAGTAAAAAGACTGTGAAATACGCCCCGCCATCTGGTGCTTTACATCCATAAACGTCTTAGGTTGAGCTACTTTAAAAATTCATATACAAGGGTATTAGCCTAATACAAGGGTATTAGCCTAATACAAGGGTATTAGCCTTGTATATGAATTTTTAAAGTAGCTCAACCTAAGACGTTTATGGATGTAAAGCACCAGATGGCGGGGCGTATTTCACAGTCTTTTTACTAGAGAAAAATATTTTTTTTGTTACTCTGAATTTTGAAGCGGCCAATAAAAACAGAGAAAATAAAAATCGATAATTTTCGGACTGTGCCAATTGGTTACTAATCGACCAGATACTTTTTGTCTATTAGATATGCTATTAAAAGCTGGTAATTATACAATTCGACCATTGTAAATACCCGACAAATTCCGCAAGGCCGATGAGGTCGATGTTTTTCCCTGATAAGAAAAAAAAATGTTTGTTTAGATAATTTTCGAGATATTTTTTCTTTCTGAATGCATATTTTAAAGTATTTTATATTCTATGTCCGCTTGATCTATTATACTGGTCGCACGTATCGAAGTTTTATTTCTTGTAGTTTTAAAACATTTTCTTGTTATTAAACTAGTCAAATAATATTAATTGCAATCAATTATTAAAAAATATTAATTATTTTGGAAAATAACTTTTGAAATGGAGTATTATTGATAAAATTTAGCCAATTTTTTTTACCCAGTAGCGTATTTCAATATGATCTTATCATTTATCACTGTATACTGTATAATAACTTTGTTGTGGCAGAAAAATATACCGGTTAGTTTCAAAATATTATTTTTTTTTGAAACGTCACAAAAGTATTAATTTTGTGATTGACAACATAAAAAAAGTCATTTTAACGCCTAGGCATAAAAGTAAAGCACTTTACGCCTAAGCATAAAAGTATGAAAATATATTATTAAAATGACATAAGTCTCAAATTCAACGAGCCGTAACCATAGTTTCTCGATATATAATTACTCATGGTACAAAGAAAACTTGAAAACAAGGTATGGTCGATAGCGTCTCCAATTTCGTTCAGTTTGCGCATATCGCCTGTGACGTCATATGCCATACAACAAAATATCCGTATTGTTCAATTGCCACTAATAAAAAAAGACTTAAAATAGGGAAGAATTAAATAACCCCTAAAGTTATGTAAAATCATCGAGCTGGACATTTGAAAAGTTATGACACATTATACACATTTATTATGTGTCATCTCTTTGAAAATTTGACTCGCCGACCAATATTGCCGTTTATCACTTGTGACGTGGTGACCAACCTGCGCAATATCATACCTTGTTTTTTTTGTATCATGATAATTACTTACAAGTTATGAGTTTTAAATATTTTTATATTATTTGGAACGTTTGAAATTGTTTAAAACATTATTTGTGGCGTTTGAAAAAAATAGCATGTTCTATTCGGAGTAAAAATGACTTTTGTGCTTCGGCTGTATGTCAAACCTACAGTCTCGCCACGAAAAGTGTCATTTTTACTCCTAATAAAACAATAAACTAGAAAGTTTTATGGTTTAACGGGCTTTGTGAGTTAAACCATAAAATAAGTTTGTGTAGTTATAACTATAATAAATGTTAAATAAATTACAGTGATGCTGATGTTAATTATAAACTAACATATATATTTCTCAAACAAAAAGTGCACAGAAATGGAAGAGATACAATAATAAGATGAACCAAATGAATTGCTTTATTAACACAACTACAAAAACACACACATCACTAAATAGTCGAAGGCAACATAGAAAGTATCTTTTCTATTTCCGCCATACTGCAACGTTTGTCTTTGCTGAGTTTCCTCTGATTTTGAATAAACTTCTTTAAATTCTTTGTTGTGCTGTTTATCCAAATCCGCTTGAGAACGCATTTTCGCAGGTCGATACCAGAACGCGCTTTAAAACATTTGTCAGATATAACTTCAACATACTCTTCACATTTTGACTGTCCACTGACATTTTGCGCAGCCGTGCGAGAAGTTGGGACCATTTTCAATAACTTCGAATTACTGTAATGTTTCCTTTAACACTGACCGTTCTGAACTGAATGACCACGAATGCAAACCTTGCTTTATATAGACCTAGGGCAGCCTGCCCCACCCTAAAGTGATTATTTATGTTATTTACAATGGACGATTTCAAAATACTTATTTACGACATTATTATTACTTAATTGCCTACAGGGAGAAAAAGTTTATTGCGGCAATAAATTTGAACTGCATGACCGATCAGCAAAATATAACAATGACACAATTTCATTAAGAAAATAAACAAAATTAAAGGATGTTTGAAAAACCGTCATAATATCGTCTCGCCTTAACAAAAGTTTTGTCCAAACGTTTCTCGAAATATTTTGCGAGACAATTCCAATAACAACAGAAATCAAGCGACCAATGACGACTTGACTCAGGCGATTTCGCTCTTGTCGGTGTTTGCGGCCGAGTATTAAGCGAAGATTAGTTTGAAAATTTGAAATTGGCGCGTGGAGCTTGCCGACCAATAGTGCCGTTTATCACCTGTGACGTGATGACCAACCTGCGCAATATCATACCTTGTTTTCTTTGTATCATGATAATTGCTTACAAGGTTGGTATGAGTTTTAAATATTTTTATATTATTTGGAACGTTTGAAATTGTTTAAAAAATTATTTGTGGCTTTTGAAAAAATAGCATGTTCTATTCGGAGTAAAAATGACTTTTGTGCTTCGGCTGTATGTCAAACGTACAGTCTCGCCACGCAAAATGTCATTTTTACTCCTAATAAAACAATATACTAGAAACTTTCTTCGTTAAACCATAAAACTTTCTAGTAGAAAGTTTTATGGTTTAACGGGCTTTGTGAGTTAAAACATAATGATATTTTCAGTTTTTATAATTCTTGATCGAAAATCAACGGCGTCAGCGATGGCTATGAAATGAAGATCGCTGTCATTTTATATGTAAATTTATGTGGGAAATGTCGTCGACCGTCATTTCCCTGCCAACTGGATGCCGTTTTTTTTTCATATGATAGAAAGTTAAAGCAAACTTGACTCTGACCATGTTTTACGCCAAGAAAGATTTATTTCGTGTAATAAAGATTTAAATGGTGTATTAAGTACATAATATTTATTTAAATGTCAAATAATATTATTGAAACAAGTGCCAAGTTTTATTTTTAATTAAGAAAAAAATTAATCAAGAATGTATAAACGTTTTGTTTTCAAAAAAAATTATCTTAAAAACGTAAAACCTCAATTTAGAATAAAATGATCGAAGAATGAAATAAAATTTTATAGCCCTGGGTCAAATCGAAATAAAGTAAGTGTATGTAACGTTTTTTAAATATTAATAATTACCAGTAATTAGCATTAATGTACCAACATATTGAAAATTGCTATTTCTTTGTTAAATACGGTTTAGAATCCTTAAAATAACAGTAAAAATAATCGAAAATCAACAATGAAATAATAGTTTTGTTTAAATTTCTTAATCAGCTGAGCCCTATTATAGTTCGCAAAAATCCGAGCTATATTATTACATTACGCTGAGGGAAATACCGCAAATAATCGATATTTTTGACTCCGCCCCTAATCACATGCTTCATTCTTTTAAAGCTTTGCGATTTGTTCGCCAGAAGCAGCACATTTTGTCGAGAGGTTGACCAACTTTAAGAATATATAAACAAGGGTATTAGTTATGTACTAGACTGGATTTTTTTGTGACAAAGGTTCAACAAAAACTGATTCATATTTTTTTGTAGAAAAAATTATTATTAATTTAAAAAAATTAAAAGTCCCAGATTTATTATTTCAGTCAAATAATTATCTAATCAATCAACATGTTTATTTTTTTATCAATAAATACCTTGAGTATGGTTAGTTAGCGATTTTAACCAAGAATTACCAAGAAATGTATATTATATTTTTTCACTTAGTAGTAGTTTTATACAGGTACAGACAAAACGTTATTACTCTTCAAACCAGATAAAAATATGTAAAAACAGACACACAGACACAAATTGTTGACATTAGTTCAGAAATTATTTTGAAAAAATAAAAATGAAACTTCTACATCCTATATATCCACAAGGAAGGATTTTAGGACATAAATTTATGGGACTTTTTTAATTATTCATATTGGTAGAATATACTGCTAAAGTTTCCCAAATACAATTTGGACCACACTGTATAATAAACATTTTTAATATAAGAGTACAGATACTTCACTACCTGGAATTTTCTATTTATTTATGTACAATCATATATGATTATTATTATGACTTCATTTCTACCTACTATCTTTAACAATAATATTAAGCAGTAAATATGATATAACAAAAATTGATTTTTAGTTTCAAATCTTCGATCAATTTTTTAAACTAAAAATTTCTATGTCAAGATATTTGTGCCTACAATTTTAAATGGGTATTATCTGTCGATTTTTGGTCTGAGGGTAATGGTTCAAACATGTTTATTTATTTTTTAACTAAAAGTATGTTTCACATTAGAGATGTACCACTAGGTAGTTACAGGTGTCTATTATACATATTTACTTACGTAAACATTACTGTTAAAGGTGTTATTATCTCTGGAGACCAATTACCCATACAAATATTACTAATAAAATTAGATCTAAATTCTTCGCCGGTATACTCCAGTTCATTATAAAGTACAATGTCTTTCTCAGATAAAACTCTTAAACAGTCAGGTAAAAGATTACTCCATATACAGCTAAAATATAAAGTTGTAAGTTATATAATTAAAAACATTCAATTATGTATATACCTTGCACTGAGACTTGCTTTATTTGATTGCAGAATATTCAAACAATAATTACATAATTCTATTAAGTGCTCAGTCTTTAATTTCACTAAACTTAAACATATCTGCTGAACAAGTGTTAAACAATTTTGGGAAGAGAATACTTCCCTTTTCCCCAATTCATTTAAAACTAACATTATAATTTCTAATCTTTTTTTATGACAAACGTCTTTATCACTGAAACCCTGTAGTATGTATCCCCAAAGAGTGCCAAAACCGGGGCTGTTAAATTTAACTTTTATCATATCTGAGAGCTAAAACAGTTTTATTTGAAATAAATTTATATAATAAATATTTTTTTCAAATACATCTTGCTTGTCTGTAACGGCTAATAATTTTTCAAGGGACTGTATGTCCCTTTTCGTTCCAAACTCTAATATTTGTATCTCTAAACTTTCCATTTCTTAACCTTATTGGTTTATTGCTATTTTTCTCTGGTTTATTGTTAATCACTTGTTAATATCAAATTCAAAATATAAAACCGCCAAGGAATAATTTCAAACGTCAAAACACAACCACCATCTGTCTTCTGTCAGACGTCTTCTTCTTTTTTTTTTCTTTTTTTTAAATATTGGCCTAAGCTACGAGAACTATCTATCTACCTTGTTAATAGGTATATTACCAGGCTTACCAGGTTTCTATTACAGAGAAGAACAAATTAATCGATCCTGAGACAGGATCCGCCTGCGGGTAACTCGTATCCTGTCCATAAAATAAATAACTAGATCCTGTCTATTTAACGGCCCTATCTACTCTTTGCTTTGAAACCCTTTGCCATAGCTCTGCACTCTGATAGACCCATCCCTGTTTGTTATTCTTCTGTGGTTTACCCTTGTGGTTTACCTCTGTGGCCTCTGTGGTATGGAGTGTAGAGGTAAGGAGAAATAACTCTTAAGCCGTTTTGTGACCACTTTTTCAATAAAAGTCCCATAAAGCCCCGTTCTCAGAACTGCGTCGTGTCGACAGCGACACGTCAAGAGGACCAATGAGATTTGTACAAAATTCAAACAGCTGTCAATTTTAAATTTAGTACAGCTCCCATTGGTCGTTTGAAGTGTCAATCAGTGTCGCTGTCGACACCACAGGTCGACACGACGCAGTTCTGAGAACGGGGCTTTATGGGACTTTTATTGAAAAAGTGGTCACAAAATGGGAAGAATAAGGGTTCGCCAAATGACCACAGTGGCGCTAAAAACGCATAAATCTAAAAAATGAAAAGTAACCGAGAATAAAAATAAATATAACCAAACATTACCCAAAAAAAGTTTTGTTTTTATTTTTTAGAATATAAAATAATTATTGTTTATCAATATTTTGTGCTTTATTTATTATTTAATAATGGTTAAAGTGTGTGTGGTGCGAAGTTGATTGAATAGCTGATGGAAAAATAAAGAACAAAGGCAAAGCCTGTAAAATACATAATTATAATTCAGTATTGTATTATTTGTATTATATGTAAAAATTAGAGTCAATCAAAAGTGTAGTAAACATTTTTCGTAAGATTATTGACATACATGTTACAAAGTATATTTTTACAATCCTTTCTATAAAGTTACAACCTGAATAAAATTTATTTTTAATGATTTTAAAGTTTGACAGACATGCACAAATTGTTGGCATTTTTTTAAACAAATAAAAGTAGGAAATAAATAAAGTTCTAGGATGGTTCTAGGTACTTTCAAGAAATATAGTTAACTGTAAGTGCTGTATTTTAATAATCTATCAAAAATCAAAATCATCAGGATAATATTACGTATTGATTTTCAAACAAGAATTAGATTACAGCGATGGTCAAAAGCATTTAGATATTGCTTTGAAATCTACAGATAAGGCATGGCAGTTTCGTTTTAAAGAACAAGATGTTAAAGTTTATGATAAAATTGTCATCAGAAATACTGTCCACTTGCAGTATTTACATAGGAAAATGTTGGAGGATGAAGCTCTACCTACTGCCTCAGGTTAATTTAAATTCTGAGTTGCAACAACAGCAACAAGCAAGAAGGGCACCATTAAATGAATATTATACTCATAAGTATTATTATACAAAGAAAGAGTAATGTTATACACATAAATATTAACATTTTGTAGAGCAACAACAGAATAAAAAACCAAAATATGAACACCAGCAACTAAAACAGGAACCATTAAATGAATATTATATACGTAAGTACAATTTGATTGAATAAAAAACAGCGTCAGCGATGCCTATGAAATGAAGATTGCTGTCATCTTATATGTAAAATGATATGGAGAATGTCATCGAGATGTTCATTTCCAAGCCAACTGCACGCCGTGTTTTTTCGATCATACAGTATTATTATACACATAAATAGTAATATTATACACATAAACATCCCTTGATAGCGATCAACATTTTGTAGAGCAATAACAGCATCAAATAATGGAAATAATGGACCTTATTGCACAAATCAAAAACAAAATTTCAGCATTACTACTTTATTGGTTATATCAATAATAGAAATTGAGTTTATCAGTCTAGATCCTACAAGCAAGCAGATCTATCACATAATTTTAAATGAAGATTTATCTATTATAGTATGTATAAACACTTTGCATCTTTTATTCAATGTTGTAATGAATTAACAAATTCCAGGTAATTTATTCTAATAACGAAAAAAAAACTTTGGATCAAAAAATATTTTCTTCTGATGAAGTTTATGAATATTAAAGTCTGTTGAAGTTTGACCATTATGTGTTGGTATACAATTTATTTACAATGTTACAGTAGTTAAACCATCCGAGTACAAAACATGTTTAAAATCCACTATTCTTAATGAATGGAAACTACCAACTTGAGAGGAAGCTAAGAGAAAGGTTCTATTGGGTGGACTACAAGGAAAAGGGACATATACATGAGGATCTGGAAGGGCTATAACATTACGTCTCAAGCCGTGGGACAATAGGAAACGAAATTCAAAGGAAAATATTACAATACGTGGATGCAAATTATAGTGCAAAGAATTGAGAAAAAGAATTATTAAAAGTAGTTATTGTTACGATAGTTAAACCATCCGACTACCAAATATATTTAAAATCCACTATTCTGAATGAATAGCAACTACCAACTTGGGAGGAAGCTGCGAGGACGATTCTATTGGGTGAACTACAAGGAAGACATGAGGATCTGGAAGGGCTATAAAATTATATTATTCCACGTCCCAAGCCATGCAAGCCATGTTGGAATAGCTGGGAGTGAAAAAAGAAAATAATACTGCACACGATTCTTGTCTAGAAGTAGTTGATATTAAGGTAGTTAAGCCATCCGACTATCGAACATTTAAAATCCACTATTCTGAATGAATGGCAACTACGATGGCAAAACGTAAATAAATACTTGTACAGTATAAAATTACATTATATTGGCTTAATTTTTATACTAAATAAAATGTGTTATGTTATTTTTGACCTGCATTATATTTATTTAAATCTCATATCATCAATTAAACTTTAAATACAGTTTTCCTAATTATAATTAACATTAATTTTAAACTAAAGCTTTTTTTCATCTTGAATGAGGTTTACGAAATAACTTATGAGAAAAAATAAAAAAAAGGCTCAGTCTATTGCTTCTGAATAATTGATAATAAAACCACATGTTGACTTACTTTTATACTAAATAAATGTGGGTATGAAGTTATTTTAAAGCTGCATTATATTTATTTTAAACCCATCACCAATTATTACCTTAAATAATTTTTTTCTTAATTATAATTAACATTAATTTTAAGCTAAAACGATCAGAATAATGTTTTCGTCGTCTTGAATGACATTTGCGAAATAACTTATGAGAGCAATAAAAAAAGAGCCTAGTCTATTGCTGCTGAATAAAAATCTGTAATTTATTTCATGTGACATAAAAATAAATTTGTATTTTTTTGAAACCCGCGGCTTCACGTATATGATTCACGTCAAATATTTATGTCTTTTGAGAATCAGCTGTTCTAAAAATGTTCGGCGCATGTCTTAAATTTTAGGTTTTTGCTACAGCAGCGCCATCCTAATTCTTCCCTTTTTTTGACCATTTTTTAATGCACGGAGTTGTTTCTCCTTACCTCTACACTCCATACTCTGTGGTTTACCCTTTGACAATTTTAATATTTTAATTATAGGTTAGAACTTTTGTTTTTGTTAATAACATAATAATCAAATTGAAGTTATATTTAAAATAAAGTTATTTTAAAATAATTTATTGAAGGCTATCAGCAACGTCATGAGTAAATCTAAGAAACCTCGTAAACGTTATGAAACAGACTCGGAATCAGATAGCGTCGATAGTGCCGAGGAAGCTCGTAAACGAGACATTAAGGAAAGGGATGAATTTGCTGAAAGACTTAAAAAGCGGGACGAGGCAAAAACAAGAAATATCGTACAAGCTTCCGATCGACGAGCGTATGAAGAAGCGGCGAAAAGATTAAAACTGGAAAATGCCGAGAGAGAAAAAATAATTCCCAAATTGAGAGTAGAATCTAGACGAAAGTACTTGGAAAAAAGGAAAGAGGATAAAGTAGCTGAATTAGAAGCTGATATTATAGATGATGAATATTTATTTGAAGAGGAAGTGTAAGTAAATTACATTGTTACTTAATACAACAATAGTAATATATTTTTTTATAGATTAACACAGCGTGAGAAGAAAGAGAGAGAGCATAAAAAAGAGCTTCTTAAATTAGCACAAGAACATGAAAAAGCTAGGGAGCTTGAACGAGTTCAAAGGTATCACATGCCGAGGGATTTGGGTAAAAGTTCTGTATCAGACTATATCGAGGTTGATGAACTTGAGAAGGTCCCCCAATCTGAACAGAAAAAATGGGAAAAGGATCAAATGGCTTCTGCTGTTTTTAAATTTGGCTCAAAGGACGCATCGAAAGGAGATGAATATGAATTGGTATTAGAGGATCAGATTGATTTTATACAAGCTCTACAAATGCCAGGTGAATTAGTCAAATTTGCTATCGATTTATGTTTCACTAATAATTAATTTTAGGCTCAAGAGATAAAATAAAGAAAGAACCAGAACTTACTGAACAAGAAAAGAAAAAGCTGACAATTGAAGAAACTAAAATTAGTTTGCCAATTTTTCCATTTAAGGAAGATCTTATACAAGCCGTTCAAGAACACCAAGTTTTAATAATTGAAGGAGAAACTGGATCTGGAAAAACAACTCAAATTCCACAGTATTTACATGAAGCAGGATTTACAAATGACAGTAATAAATTATTGTATTCTCCATTAAAATAGTGTATATCTAAGACAAATTACTGATACCTAAGTATTTATATATTTTTTTCAGATAAAAAAATTGGCTGCACACAGCCAAGAAGAGTTGCAGCAATGTCAGTTGCAGCGAGAGTTGCTCAGGAAATGGGAGTTAAATTAGGCAATGAAGTTGGATATGCAATAAGATTTGAAGACTGTACATCTGAAAGAACTATAATTAAGTATATGACAGATGGTACTTTGCACAGGGAATTTTTATCTGAGCCAGACTTACAATCATACAGGTAAATTTCAAAAAAAGTTATTTTGAAAAAATGAAAATAATACTTATTTCTAGTGTTATGATAATTGATGAAGCTCATGAAAGGACTTTGCATACAGATATTTTATTTGGTTTAGTAAAGGATATTGCCAGGTTTAGGCCTGACTTAAAATTATTGATATCTAGTGCAACCTTGGATGCTCAAAAATTTTCAGAATTTTTTGATGATGCTCCGATATTTAGAATACCAGGTATATTTAAATTTATATACATGTTTCACAATTTACAATAAGTAAATAATTAATCAGACTTACAGTAATATATATTTTAGGATTAATATATGTTTTTAGGAAGGAGATTTCCAGTTGATATTTATTATACTAAAGCTCCTGAAGCTGATTATGTAGATGCATGTGTGATTTCAATTTTACAAATACATGTCACCCAACCATTAGGTGATATTTTAGTATTCTTAACTGGTCAGGAAGAGATTGAAACATGTCAAGAATTATTACAAGATCGTCTAAGAAGACTGGGTTCTAAAGTAAAGGAACTAATTGTTTTACCAGTTTATGCAAATCTGCCTAGTGACATGCAGGCAAAAATTTTTGATCCCACACCACCAGGGGCCAGGAAAGTAGTATTGGCAACCAACATTGCAGAAACATCATTAACTATTGATAATATTATTTATGTTATTGATCCTGGATTTGCTAAGCAAAATTATTTTAACTCCAGGACAGGTAAGTTAACTGTATGTAATTGTGTTATAAAGTATTAATTTATTCCTCGTCAACTAACATTGTATTTGTATTTTACTAAGAGTGAGTCCCAGGTGGGACCCTCTACTGAGGCCGCTAGGGCCTATTGTGGCTCAGTTTCTACAAGCTCTTTAATAGAAAAAGAGCATTAAAGTTCACCCTCAAGACCCAGCCTTTTAACATAGGCCGTTATGTCCGAGGGTGATATGTCTTCTAGGTCTGACAGGTCTAGCGTGGGTTTGCCAAACACCTCAAACCTGGTCCTGCCCCCCAGCGGGGCAGGTACACATAACGTGCTTCATTGTTTCGTCATCTTCCATACAGAGTCAGCATTCGGCGTTTCCACCAGTCCCATTCTCTGTAGGTGTGATCTCAGCCGGCACACGGTGGAGCCGATTGAAGAATCGTTGGCCAAAACCTTCAAAGATATATGAATCAACCAAAAATATATAGAATTTAACAGTTTTTGCTTAATTGAATTTCTAGGTAGTCAATCTTCAAAATTTTAGTTAATTAAATTATAGTTCACGTATATACTCAGCATATTAGCTCATCAATATAATGTGAACAAAAAATACCCGGATGACAAAACTTTTACACTTTTGCCTTGCAAGCCATTTCGAATATTGTTGTCTTGTGGCATGTCTGTGTGTCTGTCTGTCTGTTTATCGGTCTGTTTGATATATTTTTTTATCCGTATGTAACCAACAACTTTGATAAAAAAAATAAATATTGTTTTTGGATTCTAGTTTTGAATAAGTAAAAAAATAATTATTTTTAATCGTGGTCTCACATGTCTCAAAATTAGTAGTCGGCACGTAATCAAGAAAGTATGGGCTAGATTTTTCAAGTACCTATTACAGGCAAGCATCTAAAAATTAATTTCGGATGATGAGGGGGTTCCAAAAATTTTAATAACCATTTCGGGGGAAGGGTGGTTTTGGGTGCCGGAATTTTTTTTTTCTCCTTCTATTTTTGGATTGGAGAAACTAAAAGATTTTAAATTTAGCGTAATGTAATGTGTTTAAAAATAATTTGTTTAAATGCTTAAATTTTTAAAATCGGTTCATTATTTTAGTACATATCATAGTTTGAATTTACGTGCGGATATTTTAATAAGTTAAGCCGCCATCTTGAAATTTTAAACTGTCATATTTAGACTAAAACGTAATATTTTTAAACATATTGCCTTATTTCAAATCTCCATGTTATTCCATTAAAAAGATAAAAAAGGAGTGGGGACATTGTAATAATAAGCATTAATTCTGACTGAAGGGTCTAGGACTCTTGGACCCCCTAACTATGTGCTTGATTACAGGCGATTCATGAGTATCAGATTTTATTAAAATCACACGAACTTAATCTAAATAAATCATAAAGACCTATAGTATCTATTACTCAAAGTACCAGGGACATACTTACATTTAAAAATATTTTTTTTTAAAGTTGCGCAAAGTTGCGCAAGATGGTAACAAATACATGAAGGGTAATGTCCAATCTTTCAAAAAACATCAGCCAATAAATTGGGCAACTTTGGGCACTCAACAAAACTCAAGGTTAAATAGCATATTTTATTTTTTATTTTATACTAATTTATTAATTAATTTAGTATGCATCAGTGAAAAAGTTTTTTTTTTCAAAATATAGCTAGAAATAGTCAAGTAGTATTGTACTTTTATAAAAAATGCAAAAAATTAATTGTATTTAAAAATTAACCAAGAAATTTTACTTATTATTCGGGCCCTACAAATTGCATTTATTATGCACGGTAGAACTAAACCTTCGACATTACTGCCCTTCACTGGTTACAGATCTGCATCCAAAATTTTTTTTTGTGCATAATATAATATTTCGGTCTTTTCTGTATTCTATGGTCATCAAAACTTTTTGAAAAAGCAACTTCTGTTTTATAAGGTTCTGGCCGCAAACATGGCAATCGGCCCCACTGTGCGGCAGTGGCCCGTGTATACTGCAGTAAGCTTACGCGCTCCGTTCCTACCAGCCTTTAGGAGTTCATCTGTTCTACGTTTGGATGGCCCTGCTAGGATTGGCATATCTTGGCATGTTCCATTCCGGGACTGTCATACCAGTCCCGAAACGTCACACCCGTAAACCATTCACAGAGCCTGTCTCTTGCGAGATTTTTTGGTACGCTAAGTGTCGGTTCTGGGCCCACGAATGGCGAGCCTGCACCAGTTTTGGCGAGGGAATCAGCACGTTCATTTCCCTCTAGACCGACATGTCCCGGTATCCATATTAGCGACACTTTGTTTCCATCTCCTAATATATTGAGTAGTTTCTTACAATGAAGAATCGTCCTGGACGTACTTTTCGTTACCTCAAGTGCTTTCAACGCGGCTTGACTATCCGAAAATATGCTTATTGTTTTCCCGGTGTATTGCTGTTCTACCAGCAGTTGCACACAGGTTTCAATCGCATATAGCTCAGCTTGGAAAATAGTGGTGTGTTTTCCAAGACTGTGGTAGATCTCAGTCTTTGGACTGCTGCAGTAAATTCCTGCGCCAGATCCTTTATCGTTTTTGGATCCGTCCGTGTACCAACACATTTCCGGAATAAGCCGTTTCTCGGCTTATACCATTCGTCCCTATTCGGAAACAGGACGTGGTAGGTGCGCGTCAAGAGTTGGATTGGTGGTGTGAGATCCGAGACCATTCCCAGAATCTCATCCGACTGTAGTTCGTCAACTATATAACATACCTATATTATAAACTATATTTAATATATTTAATTAATTATTATATAAGATTATGAGAAAATTGCCTACTTACTATACTAAAGCATTTGTTTATCACAATCAGGGATATTTACCAAACGTATTAACTAACTATTAATTTGGGTATTTTAATATTTTGAAGTATAACTGAAAATTACACAAAGCAGTTACAATATGGTGTTTTACTATAGTCAAAAATATTGAATTTATTATCTGTTAGTGTAATTTTATTTCTTTTGTTTTATTTTACTAAGTTAATTAATATATTGAGTTTTATTATGTAGCGTTAAATTATGTGACTATCAACTAGTAGAGCAGTTACAGAGTACCTGTAATAATAAACAACAACCTGTATCTCTGATGGCTGTGTGTGGTGTGTGGTACTTGCAAGTGCAAAAGTGGCATTAAACTGTTTATTTTAGAAAATTGTCAACAGAGTAAAATAAAATATATGGATATTCTAAAGTTCTATGAAGATTGATTAATCATAATAATAAGAATATGCTAAAATATGAACTGCTTAATATATTAGTATAACCAGTAGATTATTTAAACTCTGATTAGATTTAAATACAATATATTTTATTATGCTACAAAATAAAGTCAAGTTGTTGTAGTAATGCCAAATATTTACTGCCCCATTGATGCTGGACCTGTACTATACAAAACAAGTACCCTATGATTTCAAAAAATCTGCTCCAATTTATCGTAGAAATGTCGATCAATGTTAACTTCATGTATAAAATTTTGAATAGTGGTAATTTGACACCGTTTTTTCAATCAAATATATAAACGAAATATATACAATATTGTCAAGGTGTATAGCGACATCAGTCGAAAGAGCGAAAAACCACTAAGCGTGTTTATATTGTAAGAAGCGTAGCGACATCTTTCGGGAATTGAGTATCTCGCCATCTCTTAGACATTTGTGGAAAATCTCGAGCGAAATGGCGCAAGTTTCTAGAAGCCAAAAGAATTCGACAGAGTTCTAGAACTTGCAAGAAGATCCGCAGCGATATATAAAGCGCACTCTTAGAATAGTGTGTATATTATGTTGGAAAATAAGTTCGTCAATAGTTTATCTGGTGAGTTTGAATGAAGGACCCACGAAACCCGTAACAATATTATACTATTTTCAACATACAAAGATATATTAAAATGAGAAAATATCTGTGAAATTATACCGTAAATAAGAAAACTGCACTTATAATCTATTTCTTTGGGCAATAAATATATTTCTTATGAAATGAGTACAATTACTAATAGGTATTTTTTCGTCTTTTATAATTTTCTTTGTTTTCTTGCACGGAGAGGATTCCATGAGACTTTTGTAGAGTCAGTAACGGATATAATATTTAAACCTACCATTTGTAATCCTTTAATAGAAGATATTCTTCCTGGTCCTAAACCTGAAATTCTAACTTTAACCTACAATTTTAAATAGTTATGGTATATCACTAGAGATAATACAAATCTTACAGTGTCTATTCCTTTTTCTATCAATCGCCTTCCGAAGGTTACAGCAGTACTTTGCGCCGCAATATTTGTGCCTTTTCTTGCATTCTTAAAGCCTTCTATACCACAGGAATGTATGAATTTAGGCACTCCCTTTTCATCTAAAGAATGATTGGATGTATATTATTCTACATAATATATAAAAATATGTATGTATACATAATATATAATAAATAAAAATATGTTTATATTCTGTAACCTGTAACATTTATAATAGTATTATTTCTTGAAGTTCTAATATTTATAATAGGTAGGTCTCGAAATCTTAATCCACCAACAACAAGTGTGTCTATGAAGCTATTAGGATATACTTCAAAAGTGGAAATATTGGCATTTTTTTCTCCTATAGTTCCTTCATCTTTTCTTGGCAAAGATTTCAGCATTATTTTCTTGTCTATTTTATTTTGTAAATTATATGCCAAATGCAATGTGTTTTTCATTACAGTTTGTACTGTATTGCAAACATTTGTAACTGTAATGCGATATCTGAAATTGTTTAACATTTTACAAGAGGTTTTAGTTAAAGATACAAATACAAAAGCATTTAACCAAATACGGAAAAATTGAACTGTCAATTTAAAGAACTGACATTGACAAACCGGTTTGAGATGGAGGTCAGGAGCGGGTGAACGCAAAGAATATACCAAGGTGAACGATTTTTAAGGATATATTTTACATGGTCGTCAAGGGCTGGGGTCGGTGTTTATATGTGTAGGAGTGAATCGCTAGGCGATCTATTAAAGATCGCGCACACTATACCTACACGGACCGGCACGGACCAGACCAGTAAAATCTACCGGTGAAGGTGACCGTGTTATTTAATAGAGTAGCGCACACTAGACCAGCACCAGCACGTACCGCCACAAGCCACGACCGTCATAACAGGTCGTGTCGGTCGAGGACAAATATGACCGGCAATATTTATGCCTGGTCGTGCTGGTCCGACCTAATGTGCGCACCGGCGAACCAGCACACCTCCACAAACATGCAAATATTGAAGGGTTCGTCAGTCTTTCGAGTACGCTAGCTGGCTCAAGTCGCGTGTTGTAGGTTAGATTTCGTTTATTTTTGTTCGAACCTTCAAATCGTTTTAAATATGAATGAAGAAAAACTTATTTTACTGGTACAAAAGTATCCAGAGCTGTGGGATACGAGCCACGCATTTTATAGAGACCAAGAAAGAAAAGATGCCAATATGGAAGGAGATAGCAAAAAATAACTAATAAAATTTGTTTTGTGTCATTGGAAAATATTGGAAAAACTTTTCTTCGAATCTTTTTAATTCAGGAAACAAAATATGAAATTTGCCATATTGCTTTCTCTTTTGATTTATAGGGTGAACCCCCAAAATCTTCTTTTTTTCTTAGCTTCCTCCTCTTCTTCACACAACATGGCTAAAATAATAATTTCTTCCTCTGAACTACTCATTTTCAATACTGTTGCACACTCAACTACTACTTGACAACTGTACTTTTGTCGAAACTCTCGCTTATGTTGCTGGTCTGTGGCGGTAAAGTGTACGACGTCATGCGATCTTTTAAGTCGGAGAGGGAAAAATGCAAAGTATTTATTACATAACCACTTAATCGGACGCGCGACGCTAGATTTCATGTGCTTGGGAAAAATCTTGCTCTTCTTTCTTTATTCAGTATATGTTATTACAGTTGGGGGTCGGACCTTTCGTGTTACAACAGAAAAATAAAACACTAAATCACCACACTACACCAAAACACTTATTTTGCGCTGGACGCGCGTTTCACTAACCACGTTAGCATCATCAGCAGTGTAGTGTAGTGATTCAGTGTTTTATTTTGACATCTTATTGTATTGAGCCTAATCATACTCACGAAACGTATAACACATGCGTATACATACTCGTACACACGAAAATCAGCACCGAAGGCCAGAAATACCGATGCCGTCCCGGTATGTAACTGTGATGTAACTTTAAGTGACTTAGTTTAAGTCTAGTCTAGTTTTTATACTTGATCAAACAGATGTTTAGAAAAAGTTCTATTAGCCTTATAACTCGGTGGTTTTATGGCAGAAGGTCCTACGTTGAAATCTTATTGCGATATTATTGTAACACAAATATTGTGTTTTGGGCAACGTTTCTAATGCCATATAAAATCATATGGTTCCATTTGACTTAAAAACCAAACCAAACCGTATAATTTTTATGGATCGTAGAACTTATTGCCATATTATATGAAACAAGAAAAATGTCAAAATTTTGACATAGCACCTTTTGCCATAAAACCACCGAACTTCTGGCTGGGTTATGTCTAGGTTTTTCAAAACGGGGATCCCGATGTATGTTTAATCCCGATATTAAATCATTCCTACACCTCAGTTGTTCATTTTCTAAATAGCACACGGTATAGTGATTTATTTCCAGGTGCGAGCCATCTCATCTCACTTTGCCCAGTATATCGACTAACTCATTTTATTTCACCAGTCATTTTATTTCACAAGACTAGACGACTGCAATTTTGATTTAAAATTATCGAATTTAAAACAATGTTCACAACTAGCCAGATCATTATAGCCGGAGGGCTGGCGACATATTTAGAGAACATATTTTATGCAAGTTAGAATAACAAAACAAATAAAGTTTAATAACTTGTGAACCCAGAATCCTAAGTCTGGCTGGAGGGTTGGGGGTATTTCGCTACTGCGCAATCCATAACATTTGCAAAAAAATAAATCCAAAAAACATTCTTTAGGCAACTTGAAATTTGTTTATTCTTAAATTTTAGCATCTATTTAACCTAGAAATAAGTGTGCCAGACTTTTTTTTCGGGTTTAAAGTGTAACCAGACCATTCCAAATATGTTTAATTATTATACCTGGAAAACATACTTTAGGCATTCTAAAATTTTTACAGCGTGTTTATTAGATGATAATTAAAAAATATGTGTTAATTGCCAGACGAATTCAATGGGGTTTAATACTTGCCAGACGCGAATAAAGATTTTAAATGGGCGCGACAAAAAAGTCTTATGAGTATCTATAAGCGCGAGAAAGATAGTTTATTGAGACCCGTCGGCAGCCGATGCGGCTGACGTAACAGTATTTTGGAGTACTTCAGATTTTCATAAAAACAATTTTTTTCGGTGTCATTTCAATTATTTGCAGACTTTTAATTCAGAGATTATTTTGTTGGAATTAAGTTACCATGTACAAATATGTATTTATAAATTAAATATTGACGTGCATAGTGTAAATAGTTTAGAATAATTACTGCAAATAAATATTTTAGTAACTACTAATTTCGCTACTAACTACTAAATCACAATGGATAAAAAACATTTAAGTTGTGTAGTTTGTAAAAAAGTTACTAGTGATAAAGTTATTGTTTTTTATGAAGGCAGACTACAAAAAGGCAGACTACAAAGTGCGCCAATAACATGGTTTAAAATTTAAAGAAGTGGTTTTACCAGAAAACTTAGTCCCGACAAAAGGGTACCATGTACAGTGCTAAAAAAATAAGTACTCTGGAATTTTATTAAAGTACCATTGTTAATCTTTCTAAATAGATTCAAAAGTAAGTAAAAGTGCTTTACTTTTATGCTTAGGCGTTAAAATTACTTTTTTATATTGTCAATCAGGTCGCAAAAATTAATAATAATATCGAATAATATAATATGTCACAAAAGTATAATAATAATTATACTTTTGTGACGATTTTTGAAAAAAAATATATTTTATATTATGCTAATTTTTAAATAATTATTCGTCTTTTTATTCTTTCAGATACAAAATACTTAAATTAAAGTCTTATTGAAAGGATTTCAATCATATATTTTTATTAAAAAATGTTTCTTTTTATTTATTCAATATTAGTTAGTTTTTTTTTTAAATTTTTACGACTCCAAAATGCTGTTACGTCAGCCGCATCGGCTGGCGACGGGTCTTAATAAACTATCTTTCTCGCGCTTATACTCATAAGACTTGCTTATCGCGCTCATTTAAAATCTTTATTCGCGTCTGGCAAGTATTAAATCCCATTGAATTCGTCTGGCAATTAACACATATTTTTTAATATCATCTAATAAACACGCTGTAAAAATTTTAGAATGCCTAAAGTATGTTTTGCAGGTATAATAATTAAACATATTTGGAATGGTCGGGTTACACTTTAAACCCGAAAAAAAAGTCTGGCGTACTTATTTCTAGGTTAAATGGATGCTAAAATTTAAGAATAAACAATTTTCAAGTTGCCTAAAGAATGTTTTTTGGATTTATTTTTTTGCAAATGTTATGGGTTGTGCAGTAGCGAAATACCCCCAACCCCCCAGCCAGACTTAGGATTCTGGGTTTACCAGTTAATAAACTATACATTTTTAGTTATTCCAGTTTGCCTAAGATATGTTCTCTAAATATGTCGTCAGCTCTTAGGCTATTATATTATACATACAGGGTCGCTTTTATGTATGGAAACGGTCGATTATTAGGTAGAATATAGGAGGTTACCGCAAAAAGTTAAATATAAAAGTTTTATAAATATCTATTAGCGGGTAATAAATTTAAATATACAGGGTCGGTCATAAAGTCGTGGGACATCAAAGTTTAATTTTTTTAAATGGAACCCCCTGTATATTATTGCATATTTCGGTTCTTCCTTCAATTCTAAGCAAAAATCGAAATACACACAATGTACTTCATACCAACCGTTTCCGAGTTATTTACTTTTGAACACATCACTTAAACAATTTGAGTTAATTAATTTCGATATGTTCAGTTTCATTTAACGATGTCATTTTGCCGAAACTGTGATACTTAATAATATTTGACATTAGTTCTCAAATTAGCATTTATAGATGTATAAAATGCCTAGATTAATGATCTAGGATAAAATGAGAGTATAGCAAGTCTGGAAATTATAAAATTTTTGTTTAACATTTCAGTTCTTCAATTTATGTACATTGTGTATTACGATTATTGCTTAATTGACTGAAGAATTGAAATATGCAATAATATTATACAGGGAGTTTCATTAAAAAAAAAGTTTGATGTGACACAACTTTATGACCCTGTATACTTAAATTTACTAGTAGCTAATAGGAATTTAAAACCCCATTACAACAGTATCCCAGTTTCGGCAGAATGGCATCATTAAATCAAGCCAAACACATCGAAATTAATTAAATCGAATTGTTTAAGTGACATTTTCAAAGGTTTGGTTTGGTTTGGTTTGGTTACAATACCTCGGAAACGGTTGCTTTGAGGTACATTCTGTGTATTTCGATTTTTGCTTAGAATTGAAGGAAGAATTGAAATATGTAATAATATACAGGGGGTTCTATTTAAAAAAAATGAAACTTTAATGTGCCACGACTTTATGAACGAGCCCGTATACTTAAATTTATTACTCGCTAATAGATATTTAAAAATCCTATAACTTGTGTATTTAAATTTTTGCGGTACCTCCTATATTTTACCTAATAATCAACCTTTTCCATACATAAAAGCGACCCTGTATAAGTTATATGAATAGCTGTAAAATTGTAATACATTTCATGAATTTAATAATATTCGTTAGTATCATTCGTTATTTTTTACACTACACCTAAATTGTTTTAGGTATGGAAAGTTTAATGGTAGTACCAATTTCGAAAGCGTCAGCTAATCAACGTGCGGGAAGGGCAGGCCGAGTAGCCGCAGGAAAATGTTTTAGACTTTATACAGCATGGTCATATAAACATGAATTAGAAGATAATACGGTACCTGAAATCCAGAGGATAAATCTGGGAAATGCGGTTTTAATGTTAAAAGCTCTAGGTATGTTATTTAGAATACATTTAAAAAAATGGAAATATTATCCGTTGTCGAGTTACAGTCGGCGTCGTCCCCTATTATATAGGACAGTGATGGCAAACTATGACCCGTGAGTGAGACACCCACGCAATTGTTTACGCGGGTTTATTTAGATTTTCTAATTTATGTGGATAATTTATATTATATTTATATTTTTTCAAGCATTGCATTGACACAAAGGCATTTTAAATACTGTCTATAACCTTTACTTTGATCATTACAGTTCTAAAATTACGCAAATGGCAAATGCGTTTGTAGTAGATATTTAAAATAAAGCAAAGGTGTTTATAAAATATCAAATAAAGTGTATACTTTTACTCACATTTTGTTTGTTCAAGATAAAATCGACAAACCACGCCCATTTTTACCAGTTAAGCCAATTGAATTTTAAAGATCTTTAATTTTAAAAATACATTAATTTTTTTTAAACTAGTGCAAATGGGCATTAGTGACCCACAAGCTAGCACTAAAAAAAATTGACGCACATCTCAAAAAGGTTCGCCATTCCTGCTATAGGACAACGCTGTACAATATCTTGTGGCCATCAATAAATACGAGTAACAATAGAGTTATATTAACTGTTTTAGGTATCAATGATCTTGTACATTTTGATTTCTTGGACCCGCCACCCCACGAAACGTTGGTTTTAGCTTTGGAGCAACTATATGCTTTAGGAGCTTTAAACCATCACGGCGAACTAACTAAAATGGGACGACGAATGGCCGAATTTCCAGTCGATCCTATGATGGCGAAGACACTGTTGGCATCAGAAAAGTATGTGTCTATTAATATTTTATTAATTACAAGCATAAAAACTGACCCGCCTCCATACCTGTGAAGTTAATCGCAAACGGTTATTATTAAAATATTTTGTAGACTTACTTCAAGACCAAAATAGGTAAACCTAAACAAATAATAATTTCGATGACGTTATCACCTCTGGTAGGTTGTTTTACTGCACGTCTGTATACAGATTGTTAACTGGACAGTTACTTATTTGGGAACAGAATGGCAACACTGCCTACATTCCAAATGAGAACTAAGCTAAGCTGCCGACTTGTCCCGTCGCGTCCAAGGACTGTATATATTCTAAAGGACTGTTCGATCGCGTCAGATCACCGCTATCGTAGTCACCGTGGATGCTTACGTCACGCAGGGACCAGCGCTCCACAGTGCGGCGGATGGTTATTCTAGCGGGACAATATCTCAGGAGTCAGGAGCCATATTATATGGTTGGTTGATAAAAATGTATCGAAATACAAAGAATATATACGACTAAAAAATAATTCATGCATTTTTATATCAGTTGGAATGTCTACTATTTATTCTTATCAGTACACATTTTTGGATTATTTCTAACCAAACGGTTTTGTCCCGCTAGATTTATCTTCCGCCGCACTGTGCGCTCGACCGTTAAACGCAGAAATAACTGTCACTGTCTAAAATCTCTAGCGCGAACTTTAACTCGGTCCCTAGAAAACGTAAAAAAACTGACAGTACAGGAAGATAGGAATCGAACTATCCTTATCTCTATGGTATCCTTGCGTCGCGTCGTCTCTCGACGAGCGGGCCGAGGTTGCCATATTTCAACCATAAAGCTCTTGCCGCGAGTAATAAACAAATTAACAACCTGTATAGTTTTTATATAATTATGCTTTTTTCATAGAGATGGATCGTTATTTAACTATATAAACTACCTATCTGTTATTTTATATGAATTATTTAGAAATATCATAACGCAACCGTTGCTACTTCTAAAAAATAACAGATACGAATACGAAGTCGGTCGCCACAAAATTTTAATAAAGCGACCAGTGAGCCGCCACCTCAAGGAAAGCAATGGCAAACCACCTTGAGTATATTTGCCTTGTACAGCCTCTCAAATAGTGCCGTTAGGATTAGGCGATGAACTGTAGGTTCCGTGTACTTGTCAAACACTGATGACACACATCACAAGTACATGCGAGAGGTAGCCGACGCTCTGGATAGAGTATGGCACTGTAATGCTCACTTCCTGTTTCACCGGAAATTACTACAACTTTTAATTTTTAAATGACATCCTCGGTATTTTTTACTTAATTCGACAGAAAATTACACTCTGAATAGAATGAAACATCACATATCAACTTTTGACATTTTTGCTTAAAAAAAAACGTACTTGCTTAAAAAAAACGTGGAGCAAATTTCAATCTAGAGTCAAAAACACGAATTTTTAATCGGGGAACCTTGGAAAAATATATTTGATCATCCAATGTTTTTCGTGTCTTGTCCTGGCCGGTTAATAGATGCCCAAATCGTATTTTTAATCATATCTCAATTTATTCAAATGAAACAAGGGTGGCTCATTAGCGTATTTGGAAAAAGCATTTTTTTACGAATAATTTGATACCACACACTTGGTATTTGGAGTCAAATGGTCATTATGAACCGCATGTTACAATTTCAAATAAACCATATGCGAAAATGTCAAAAGTTGACATATGATATGTCATTCTATTCAGAGTACCATATTCTATACAATAAAGTAAGAAAATACTGAATGTGTCGTTTAAAAATGAAAAGTTGTAGACATTTCCGGTGAAACAGGAAGTGACAGAAAACAATTGAATACGTCATCAAATCAAGAATATTTTAAAAGCATATAATGCTAACGTCCCAAATCTGTTTTTTTTATCTGAAAAAATATAAAAGTTTTAGGGGTGAGCCACTTTTGATAAACACCCGGTATACTTATATATACTTGTAGGAGGCTATATGTCATAATAATAGTACAGTATATAAACGGTTATACAAACAATAATTATGTATATAGGGTATCCGAATATTCCGTAGACATAGAACTAGTTTGGTTTGGTTTGATTTTAGATTCAAATTAAATTAATTGGGCGCCAATTATTATAACTCTATATAAATAGTATATAGAGCTACTTTTGAGAAACATCCGGTATATATTCAAAAAATTAAAAGATATAGCTTCATTTGTTTATAAATCTTATAATTTACATTTTTTATTATTAAGAAGATATAGGTATGAAGATCTTTATAACTTTACGACAATTTGGACTATGTGTATGCTTTGTTAGATGTTTACCAATAAAACCAAAGAATAACAGGGACCTGTTATTTTAAGTTGTTATCCTTGTTTATACAATATTAACTAGTTATTCAGCGTGAGTTAGTTCTGGGAGTTCACTGATAGATGACTACGAGAACTGCATCGCGGGTCTTTCAAAAATTTGAATTTCTAATTAAGTGGGACAATTGCAAGAACACGTTACGGTAAACTTATTATTAATAATTCTTATTAGTTTACCGTTATTGCGGTCCCACTTAATTAGAAATTCAAATTTCTGAAAGACCCGCGATGCAGTTCTCGTAGCCATCTATCAGTGAACTCCCAGAACTAACTCACGCTGAATAACTAGTTAATGCTGTAGTTAATATATAAACAAGACTGTTATATATAAATTAACGGTAACTTGCTATTAAAAATAATGGTTTTGTCTATCACTATTTTTTAACTTCATTAATATTTTTAGATACAAATGTTCCGAAGAAGTGGTAACTATTACAGCTATGCTGTCAGTTAACAGTGCTATATTTTATAGACCGAAAGATAAAATAATCCACGCCGATACAGCAAGAAAGAATTTTAATCATGTAGCTGGGGATCATCTTAGTTTATTAAATGTATATAATCAATGGAGGGACACTGATTTTTCGACACAGTGGTGTTATGAAAATTTTATTCAGTATAGGTACGTGCCATATGTTTTATTCTAATTTACATTTAAATATTATTTTTTGATCTTTTTGTATGTATAAGATGGCATTGTTTTAGGTCCATGAAGAGAGCTAGAGATGTTAGAGAACAACTTGTGGGATTAATGCAAAGAGTAGAAATCGAGATGGTGTCAAATATTTCCGAAACCGTTGACATTAGAAAAGCTATAACCGCTGGCTACTTTTATCATATAGCAAGATTTTCCAAGGGGGGGAATTATAAAACAGTAAAACATAACCAGGTAAATTTTTGGAAATTCAGATGTAGTAATTTTTAAGACCATAAAATACCAAATTTGTATTTTTGTATGTTCTACATAATGTCGCCCTGATCATCCTAGATCAGTGGTTTGGATATAACATGTTGTAGAATGTAGAATGTTTAGGAGAGGGGTTAATCACCGCGACCTTACAGATCTTTTGTGTGTTCCCCTTTTTTATTGCTATTTGCCCAGAATATTGCTATTTAACTCGCTTGTTAGGTCTAAACTAGAATATGCCTCTATTATTTGGAATCCAACCATTTTTACCTACTCAAATATGATAGAGAAGGTTCAGAAAAAATTCCTGAGAAGCCTATTTCTGCAAAAACACGGGTTCTACCCCGGCTTTCGCAATCTAGTATCATACGAATCTCAACTAGCAGAATTTAGCATAACATCCTTAAAGGAAAGGATGCAGTTCAGTGATGTGTCGTTTGTATTTAGTATTATTCACCAATGTGTTCCTGTGCCGGACTTACTTGGAATGATTTATTATGTAGTACCTGATTGTAGACTAAGAAAAAGGCATGTAATTTTTAAGATCTCGTTGGTTAGTTCACCATTAAACAGGTGCCTAGAGGCGGTGAATAAGTTTGCCCTAGATCACTCTGATTTTGACTTTATCTGTGATAAGAATAAAAAGATATGTGGGTTTTTATATGGTTCTAATATGATTTAATTATTGTTTTAATTATTTAATTAGCTTGTAACTTTAAATTCCTTTTTCTATTTTATCTTTTTATCTCACAGTTCATTTTTTTTATCATCATTTCTTTATCTTCTTATCTTAGTAGCACGTGTATGGTAGTTTTGTAAAAATTTTTCTAATACCTTTAACTTTTATTTAGTACTAATTATTTTTATCTTTCTTATTTATGTACTGAGACGCAAGCTGTCGAACAGGAACCCGCAGAGTTGTTCAATTTAGCAATCTCAGGGCAATATCTTCAACTATTTTATTAAGTCTCGTTGTTAATGTTATTGAGAGTTCTTCTTTTTTATTGTATATTTATTTTTGTATTTTTTAATTTGTATTTACTGTACTGTTGTCATGGGAATATTTTTCTGTTATAAGTGCAGTCTAAATAAATGATTTTGATTTTTTTGATTTTTGAGTTATAACATGGTTATCTCAAAAATCTCTGTTAAAAAGAGACAAGGTATTTTTAAGCGATCGGTTTCGCAGTCCAGATATGACATTCTATATCAGCCGACTCGGTCGTTCCGAGTACAGGTATTTTGGTATTCACAAACGCGCATATCTGATCTTTCATATGCGATTCTCAAGGGTATTAACCGTGATAGTCCACTAACCTACTCATATCAAAATGCTTTTCTGAAATACTTCGTCAAATGATGCCGATTTTTTTTAATTCGTTTAAAAATTTATTAATTTCCGCAGAATCACAATAATGAGTTTTTGAAGTTTGTTACAAATACCAACATGTAGGATTATGCATTATTATGAGTTGGATTAGTCTGTGACTATTAATCTATTTGTAGAGACATGGGCAGTGCCGAAATTAAGAACCCATAATCAATCTAACAAATGACTTTGGACATACTATACCAAGTTTGTATTTGAAACTTGGTATAGTCTTTATCACTCTGCATCAACAATTAATAAGTAATTTTGCTACAATCCTGATTTCTATTTCTACCGCGCTAATTTTTAATCATACTTCACACGTAGGAACCGACAATCCTGTATTTCTTTGTTTATACTTTGGTTATGTCATGTAAAATAAATCTCTTTCTCATAATATACAGACCACCAATTTAGAATGTGCAGGCTAGTATAATCCATTTATTTTGTTTATGTGTTCTTGTTTTTAGACAGTAACTATACATCCAAATAGTTCGTTATTTGACGAACTCCCAAGATGGATTTTATACCATCAACTAGTTTTTACTACAAAAGAGTTTATGAGGCAAGTTATTGAAATTGAGAGTAAATGGCTATTGGAAGTAGCACCACATTATTATAAACCGAAAGAATTAGAAGATTCAACCAACAAGAAAATGCCAAAGACTATTGGAAGAGCAACAAAAACTGATTAGTTTTTTAATTAATGTTTATAGGTGTATTTTAATATTTTATATTATAAAATAAAACTCATTTTGTAAAAAATTATAACTATATTTTATAACAAGTTAATTGGGAGGTGTAAAAAAGAACGATACATTTTCGTACAATTATTAGATGCAGTTCAGATCAACGTAAATTGTAAAGGTGGGTCTATATGCATGTCGTGAGTCACTTAATCATAATAAAGTATGTCACTTTTGAAATGAGCCAATAAAATGACGTAAAAACGACGAAGCATTAGTGTGGGCATAGCATGGGTTTACATGTATTCGTAATGCGTCGTCGTTGATTTTATGTAATTTTATTTGTTTATTTCAAAAAATCAAGCTCATACTTGAATATGATTGGACTAACGGAATGACGTATTACGGATGCATATAAACTCACTTTTACGGATGCATTTAAACCTCTAGACACCCACTAACTATATACCCAAATACCTAGTTCATTATTTGAAGAACTTCCAAGAAGGATTTTACAACACGAACTAGTTTTTAACCACAAGAGTTAAGAGGTATGATATTGAAATTGAGAGGAAATGTTGGAAGTAGCACATTTTTATAAATCAAAATAATTAGAACATTCAACCAACAAGAAAATGCCAAAAATTATTGAAAGAGCAACAAATACTGATTAATTTTTTAAACAATGTTGAAAGGTATATTTTATATTCTAAAATAAAACTAATTTTGTAAAAAATTATAACAACTATATTTTATAACAATTTACAAATTGGGAAAATTAAAAAAAAAAGAACGCTACATTTTGATACAATTAAATGCAGTTCAGATCAATGTGATTAAAACTGACTTGTTAAAGGTTCTTGGCAGTCTCATATTTTCATTGTTTGAAACATAGTTTCAATCAAAATTTCCACACACTCATGCTAGTTTTAGCATATAAGACAATTTGCACTTATTCAATTTCCACATCACAAAAATTCCTGTCAAAACACTTAAGGAAATCTTTTCAACAGGACTCTATCACTCTTATCATAGTACGATAATTTGGTAAATGTCTTTTGTTTGCATAATTTACATCATGCCGCCCATTCCACCCATACCGCCCATGCCTCCCATACCGCCAGCTGGAATTGCTGGTTCTTCTTTAGGAATTTCTGTTATTACTGCTTCTGCTGTCGTTAGTAAAGACGCTACTCCTGATGCATCAACAATTGCTGTTCGTACAACCTAGATTATAGAAATATTTTATTAAACTTAAAACGCCTTATTCTTATTTATAAAAGTCAATTTACTTTAGTAGGGTCAATAATTCCTCTTTCGTATAGATTTACATATTCATTGTTAAGTGCATCATATCCATAATCTCCAGATTGTTGTTCTACTTTCGCTACCACAGCAGCTCCATCAACACCAGCGTTTTTAGCAATTGTCATACATGGAATTCTTAAAGCTTTTCTTACAATTTCAATACCTTAAATATTGAATCTTTTATTTTTTGAGAGGGTGGGGAAATGTTACAATCTTACCAATTTCCTGATCTTTATTTGTAGCTTTTAAAGAATCTAAACTAGAAGAGCATCTTAACAAAGCAGTACCACCGCCAGGAACAATACCCTCTTCTACAGCAGCTCTTGTAGCATTTAATGCATCAGTAACTCTATCTTTCTTTTCATTAACCTAAAATACATCAACGTAGTAAATAATAAAGGTAAAAAAAAGATCCCAATAAAACCTACCTCAACTTCACTACTTCCCCCAACCTTTAGAACTGCCACACCAGATGCAAGACGTGCTAACCTTTCCTGAAGTTTTTCTTTTTCATACTCAGATGTAGTATTGTCTATTTGATCCCTGATCTGATCTGCACGCCTATCTACATCCTCTTTCCTGCCTTTACCTATAATTTACTATAAGGTATAAAAATCCTTGAATAAAGCTCTAATTTTACCTCTAAGAATTAATGTATCATCTTTAGTGATTACAATTTCTCCTACTTGACCCAAATCAGATAATTTTACATCTTCTAGTTTAACAATATCTGCATCATCACCAAATACAATGCCTCCACTTGAAATGGCCATATCTTGGAGAGTAGATTTTCTATTATCACCAAAACCTGGTGCTTTAACAGCTGCTACTTGAAGTCCAATCCGAAGCCTAAAAAATATAAGCAAAAACAAATATGTATACAAATTTATATTATATATGACTTACCTATTCACTACCAATGTTGTTAGAGCTTCCCCATCTACATCTTCAGCAATGATGATTAATGGTTTTCTTTGGGCATTAGCTAATTCTAAAGCTGGTACAATACTTTGAACAGAAGAAATCTTTTTCTCACTAAATAATATTAAAGCATCTTGATATTCTACTTTTGCGCCTTTTGTAGTATTGACAAAATAAGGTGATATATATCCTCTATCAAATTTCATTCCTTCAATGACTTCTAATTCATCTTTAAGAGTTTTTCCATCTTTAACAGTGATAACACCTTCTTTGCCTACTTTCTTCATAGCATCAGCAATGAGATTTCCAACAGATGTATCCCCATTAGCAGAAATTGTTGCCACCTGGCAAATTTCTTCTGGTGTTGTAACAGGCTTGGACAATGTCTTTAAAGTTTCTGTGATTTTCTCAACAGCTAGCATAATGCCCTTTCTAATTTCTACTGGATTGGCACCTTTACCTAAATTTTCAAAACCTTCCTTGGCAATAGATCTGGCCAAAACTGTAGCTGTGGTGGTTCCATCACCAGCTTCCTCATTGGTGTTATTAGCTACGTCTTGAACTAGTTTGGCACCTATGTTTTGAAATTTATCTTTAAGCTCCACACCTTTTGCTACTGTTACACCATCTTTGGTAATTTTTGGAGATCCCCAAGATTGTTCAATGATAACATTTCGACCCTATAAGAAAAAAGCTATTAGAGTATATTTATCAAAATATGACCATTCAATTGAAAATAAACACCTCTAATAAAAATATATACCATATCAGTTCTTGGTATGTTGTCTCTTTAGGGAGCAATTTTGATAAATATAGCAAAGATACTTGAACAATATATAGGTCTTGAATACAATATATGCATTACTCATTGAAGTTATGTATGGACCTTATACATATACAGGGTGGTCCGAATTGTATTCGGGAAACTTCAACAAGCATATTCTGCAGATAAAAATAAGTAAAAGAGTTCTTATAAATTTATGTCCTAAAATGCTTCGTTTCGGAGATACAGGGTGTAAAAGTTTCATTTTTATTTCGACTTTTTCCAAATAATTTCTGAAATAACGTCAATATTTGGATGAAAATTGGTTATCTGGGGGTTTTTTGCTATGAAAAATTTGATTCTGATGTCAATATGACTCCTACTTGTAGAGGGAACGTCAAAGTTGGAATGCATAGATATATGAAACAATTTTAGATTGAAAACTGCCCATAAGGACAATGTAAATACTATTTGGCGCTATTCTTGCAACGGTCGCGACACAAAGCTTTTGATAATTTCGGAACGGTTCGGCTTTTTCCGGAATTATGTCGCCAAATATTCAAATTTATAATTATTTTCTATTAATTTTATAAATAAAATACAGTGCGTTGCATATAAGAAACTTTATTTTATATAAGGACATGTATGAAATAGCTATGGAAACCGACGTTATGCCACGATCCACGATGGTTTTTGCAATCCACAGTTCACAGCACAGCTTTTTAAGTTTTTAATGCCATTTTTTCACAATTATCACGGGTTTGAGTAAATAAAATTTAAATTAAACTCACAAGATAGCAATAATTACTTTGAAAATTAACTTTTAAACAATTTTCGGTATTTCTTCAATGAGAGCGGTTTAAATTTTGAAAGATTTTATAATTTTTGAAGATTCTGACTTTGACGAGAGAAGATTATTTCTGTTTTTGTTTACGGTTGTTCTTAGCAACCGCTATAGCAGCGCCAGATCGCGTACAACGGTCGCGACCCAAAACAATTACCTGGGGCGCTATTCTGTACAATCGTCGGTATCGGTAAGTTACCGACAGCTATCGGTACGTATTTGTATATAGTAAACATGTGTTGATTGTTGTTGTCATAGTTACCGATCGGCCCTATGACAGATATCACAAATTTGTACCGACGACTTTCGGTATCTCTACCGTGAGGTTAACAAGGGCACGGTAGGGATACCGATCCTCGTCGGTACAAACTTGCGATTCTGATCGGTAACTATGACAACAACAATTAACACATTTTTACTATATACAAATACGTATCGAGAGCTGTCGGTAACTTACCGATACCGACAAAGTTACCGACAGCTATCGGTACGTACGACCAATGAGCGTCGTGTTGATTGTTGTTGTCATAGTTTTAGCTGTCATTATAGCAAATTTGTACCGACGACTCTCGGTATCTCTAGCGTGGGGTTAACAAGGGCACGGTAGAGATACCGATTTTCGTCGGTACAAATTTGCGATATCTGCCATAGGGCCGATCGGTAACTATGACAACAACAATTAACACATTTTTACTATATACAAATACGTATCGAGAGCTGTCGTAACTTACCGATACCGACGATTGTCGATGCCGTGTACAGAATAGCGCCCCTGGGCATTCCAATCTAAATTTATTTCCTTTATCTATGTTTAAATGAAAATTGATATCTGGGAGTTTTTTGACTTTTGACATGAGAAATTTGATTTTGATGTCAATATGACTCTTGACATCAAAATCAAATTTTCATATGTAGGTGGCCTCTACAAGTAGGAGTCATCCTACTTGTAGAGGGCGCCAACTACATATTTTTAACTGATTTGAAGGCTAAAAATTTTTCGTCCTTACCTACATAAAACTACGGATTAAAAAAATTTACATTTACAAAAAAAAATTGCGTTGAGTAATGGTTCTCATTGATATTTGGAATCAAAATTATCAATAGTTCATTGACATAAATTAAACATGCTGACTAAATAGTTATTAGACTGAAATCATAAATTTGAAATTTTTTTGTGCCAAAAGTTGAACAGAAACTGTTTTTTATCATTTTTTTGAAGAAAAATTTATGATTAATTTAAAAAAATAAAAAGTCCACAAATTTATCATTTCAAAGGACTATCTACTCAAGATGTTTATTTTTTTTATCAATAATGATATATATTGACTATTTCCATTCTAAATATCTTGAGAATGGTTACTCGTAGCGATTTTTCTCAAGAGACATTTTTTACGTAAAAAATCACGGAAATGTATATTTTTTCACTCAGGGTGCATCCACACTATCCTAAAAACGGCGTATCGGCGTAACGGCGTAACGACCTTGAATCGATTTCCAGCAATTCTATTGGCTGAAAAATTCATCTGTCAGAAATTTTATCTGTCAAATTCATCTGTCAAAAATTTCAGCCAATAGAGTTAGTGGAAATCTATTCAAGGTCGTTACGCCGTTTTTAGGATAGTGTGGATGCACCCTCAGTAGTTTTATATAGGTATGGAGTACGGACGAAAAGTTATTACTCTTCAAAACAGTTAAAACATATGTAGGTGGCGCCCCCTACAAATAGGAGTCATATTGACATCAAAATCCCATATTTCTCATGTCAAAAAACACCCACGCACCACGCACCAATTTTCAATCAAATATCGACGTTAGTTCAGAAATTATTTGAAAAAAACTGAAATAAAAATGAAACCTCTACACCCTGTATCTCCAAAACAAAGCATTTTAGGACATAGATTTATATAAACTTTTTTACATACCTATTTTATCTGCAGAATATGCTGCCAAAATTTTCAGAAAACAATTCAGACCACCCTGTATATAATAATAATAATAATAATAAACACACTTATTATCCCAACATGTTAATTACAATACAATATTAACAAAGTTCTAATTACAATACAATATTAACAAAGTTCTAACAATTATCGGAATAAAAGGCCACTTATGCAGCTTCCTCCACAATGGAGGGTGCTGTTGAAGCCCGTTCAAAGTACAAAAAACAAAACTTATTGGCTAATTGTGTATATTATATTTGTATACAGATTCAACTCATTCGGATTGGCTAGTTCAAATTGACTCAAAAATTTAGTACATACAATACATAAACTAAAGATATAAGTATTCAAAATTATATTTGCTGGAACAACTAGATTTACATGAGAGCTATGTCAGGTGAAAAAAATATTTGTGTTTTATGCTCTGTAAATGTGGTGAATTTTACATTAAAACTTTACAGATTAACATTCACTGTTTCAACCACATGCCCTAATGCTTGTATATCAACTACAACAACAAATATTCTCCACTGAGACCATACTGGGACCAGCAACACATCTTTAAAATATATTATTTGGTGCAGATATTGAGAGTGTAATAGTAAAATTTAGTAAACAATTCTGTATAGTGAATACATGAATATTTCAATATATTAATTACAGCCAAAGTTAACTCAATGTAGCAGAGCAAATATAGAGCAAAAAGTATATAGTAAAAAATGATTAAACATTAAAAGTAAATTATACAGTCTGCCATGGTTAAATGGCAACAACTAGGGTACGTCAGGGTTTTTATATTAGTTATTTTATAAACATACGATAGGTACTATTTAAAAAATATATGTACCTTTGGTCCCATAGTTACAGCTACAGCGTCTGCTAAAACATCTACCCCTTGTAACATCAAGGCTCTAACTTCTGGTCCAAATCTAACATCTTTGGCATACCACCTTTCGATCTGATTAAGTTTGTAAGCATTCCGAAGGGCAAGAGAACGAACAGTAGATGGTACTCGATACATCTGCAAAAGAACATAATATACATAATCAAAATCAAAATAAGTAATATATCTACCTTAGAAGAACACGTTTTATTTTAAATAAATATTAACTGGCATTGACAAGAGAAGAGATTAAACAAGCAGGGGTCACTTGATGTTTAAAATTTAAGGTTAATTTTAAAAAATTATGAACCCAAAGTATGCCACACGTTTTATAATTAGCGATACAAAAAAATGTAATATATTCTTAGTTATATTATCTAATATGCCAGTAAATCCAAGCTTAAATAGCTTGAATTTTTCATAAAGCACATGGTACAAGACATTTCTGTCAATGTAAAAATCAAATTATATTTTAGATGAGTAGAAGATGTCAAATATTCCATATAATTTAAACTAAATATAAGAGTGTTTAAACATACCTTATGAAATGTTAGGGCACTTATCTATTTATTTCCTTAAATACCTTTAAAAGCCGAACCGGTCTTTCGCGTATTCGAGAACGCCAACGTCACTCTACGAGTCGCCGCTCTTATCAAATGATTTTGAAATGATTTTTGATTTGAAATGATCTTTGACATCGCTTTTTCTAGAATGAATTAGTAATAAAATTTAATGTTAGATGTCACCGATGTCACCCAGAACAGACTGTATTACTAGTTGTCTAACAAAGAAAAGGGTTCCTATAAAATATTTGATTTTCGATTTTCGAACTTATACAGTTACAATTCGCTGTTTATTCCAATATTCTCCAATACTGATTTATTTCGCTGCATCATTAGAGCGCTCTTACCTGGTCTTACCTCACAGCCTTGTATATATACAGTATATATATTTTTAAAGTAGATCAACCTAAGACGTTTATGGACTAAGACTACTAGATGGCAGGACCAATAAAAACAGAGAAAATAAAAATCGATAATTTTCGGACTGTGCCAATTGGTTACTAATCGACCAGTTACTTTTTATCTATTAGATATGCTATAGAAGCTGGCAATTATACAATTCGACCATTGTAAATACCCAACAAATTCCGACAAGGCCGATGCTTCTCACTGATAAGAAATAAAAATGTTTGTTTAGATAATTTTCGAGGTATTTTTTCTTTCTGAATGCACATTTTAAAATATTTTATATTCTTTGTCCCCTTGACCTATTATCCTGGTTGCACGTATGGAAGTTCTGTTTCTAGTTTTAGAAAATGTTCATATTTCTTTTTTCTTTGAAGGTGTAGTGTAAAATTGGATTAATTTATTAAGTTTAATTATAGTGTTTAGTGTAGCATGTTAGTGTAGTCTACCATTAGTTATTTTTTCTTTTTGTTTGATAAATTAGTAAGTTTGATAAATTTGTTCAGTGTAGAATACAAGAATAAGTAGTTGTGTAGTGTGTTTTAAGAGATTATATTCGTTTATTTTGTAGTTGAGTAGTAGGTGAAGGGGTATTTGGGTATTTCTTCTTTTTGTTTTTCTTGTAATAATTGTAGTAGTTCTATTAAGTATTGTGATAGATACACTATAATATCTTCCTTCAACTTCGTTGAAAAGTGCGTTATCATCATAGAGAAATATAAAATAAAAGAGTTGTCATTTCCATAGTCAAAAGTAGGCAACACGTTTAACGAGGATCGATTGTAGCGCACCCTTGAGCCCTAACTGAACTAATCGAAATATGACAGACCTTATCGGTAAAATAGGTATCTGCATTGCCTACCACAAAAAAGGCGGGCTGTTTAAATGTGAATATAAAATTTTATGTATTTTTAAAAATATTACGAAATTAAAACTGCAAAAAATATAATGAAAGTTTATTTTTAAAAACGGAATATTTGAAAAGTATAAACTATTGTACACTTTTCAAATGCTTACAGTTAAATGCTAAATTAAATTTGATAATATAAAACATATATGCTGAATTAACTTCGAGGGGTAAACTCCTGATGAATTTCTGTACACTAATGCCAAAGTAATGCCAAATAATTTAGTACTAATACCAATAATGCAAATCTTGTACACCACCAAAATACACCAGCGGTTTACCCTTCGATTTACCTATAGTATTATAAAACGTATTTAACAACGCCACTAACAAAGCATATAAGATCGCAGGGTTTGCAATCTATGCTATTATAACAGATAAAGATTTAAATAAGACATCAAAAATTAATTCACCTTTAAGTTGAATTTATAAACTCAGCAGTCAGCAGTTGAAGTTCAGTTGAGGTAGCAAATGTTCAACACTATTAAATGAAGGCGCAAATTTATAGTCAGTTCGTTTTACGTTCACAGAGTTCAGAGATGGGCAATGTCTTTACATATCGAACTTGCTTTGCATGATACCCTTTCCTGGATCGTGTTCAAATCACATCATCGGTTGAACAAAATATTACATGATGACGGCAAAACACAGCACAAAATATAAAGTTCAAATCATAGAGAAATATAAGGTCTCTGGTTCCTCGGGAAATAAAACTTCGTCCATAATTTCTGTACGCACAAACACAACACAAACAAACAAAGTTTATGCCATAGATAAATGAAACAAGTTTAGATTGGAAAGTGCCCATAAGGACAATGTAAACACTATTTGGCGCTATTCTTGCAACGGTCGCGACCCAAAACTTTTGAAAATTTCGGAGCGGTTCGGCTTTTTCCGGAATTATATCGCCAAATATTGTTTATTCAAATTTATTATTATTTTCGTTTAATTTTATAAATAAAAGACAGTGTGTTGCATACAAGAAACTTTATTTTATATAAGGACGCATGTATGAAATACCTATGAAACATTGGAAACCGACGTTATGCCAAGATCCACGATGGTTTTTGCAGTTCACCGTTCACAGCACAGCTTTTTAAGTTTTTAATGCCACTTTTTCACAATTATCACCGGTTGGAGTAAATAAAACTTGAATTAAACTCACAAGATAGCAATTATTACTTTGAAAATGGACGCTATAAACACTTTTCGGAATTTCTTTAATGAGAGCGGTTATATTTTGAAAGATTATTATGGTTTTTGAAGATTCTGACTCAAGAGAAAATTATTTCTGTTTGTGTTTGTCGTTGTTCTTAGCGACCGCTATAGCAGCGCCAAATCGCGTATAACGGTCGCGACCCAAAATAATTTCGCGACCTAAAATTTTTACGGGCTTTCCAATCTAAACTTGTTGCATTTATCTATGGTTTATGCTACACAAAATAATAACAAAATTCCAAAATTGGTTTTCTGGTAGCAGAATATACGAAAAAAAAAATCTGATCAAATTTATTTGAAATTAAATTAATCTAGCCTTATTAATCAAATTAAACTAGTCAAATAATAACAATAGTTAGTTTCAAAATATTATACAGGGTGAGTTTCCTACGATGTTCTCTATGGGCATCTCGGAAACTACTGGAGATAGAGAGTCGGTTAATGGGGAAAGAATTGCAGTTTTGTGGGGTCATAAATATGCGCCTTTCGGATTTTTCGGTGAACTTCAAGGCTTATTAGATATTTCGAAAAAAACAAATTTTGGCTATTTTAAAACTTGTCTCTAATTCCATTATAATCTACCGTATGATCGAATAAAAACGGCGTCAACGATGGCTATGAAGTGAAGATCGCTGTCATTTTATATGCAAAATTATACGGGAAATATCATTGATCGTCATTTCATAGCCATCGCTGACGCCGTTTTTATTCGATCATACGGTATTTTAGACAAAAAGTTGTCAGATAAAAGTTGTGGATAATCACATACCTAATGAGTTTGTGTTTTCTGTTTGTTTTTTCTAAAGTCTGTCATTTTTGACATATGACACAAACATATGTTTTTTAGTAAACTATAGTTGGCCATGGGTAAATTTGCGGTGAACAGGTAGTTCTAAAAAGTTTTCTAAAATATTCAGGCAAATTTAAAAATAATGCACGATTTTCTACATCTTTTTTTGCGAAAAAAAACTCATAGAAGTATTCCTGGGGTCGAAATATATCACCCTTAAAAAGTATTTTCACTTATTTAAGACTCACCCTGTATAAGAGTTTTCAGGAAACGCTGGCTGCTTTATCAATTGAAACATAATACCTGTAAATCTACAAAAAATTTACAGTGCAGATATCGACTCAGAGGAAGACTCGTTTGCGAGAGCGGGGATCTGCAGTACGATGAGTAGGGTTCCCAACCGTCCCGGTTTGACCGGGATTAACCAGGAATCAGAAAGTTTGTCCCGGCGAAAATTTTGCCTTGGCCGGGACCAAAAAAATGACGTTTACATATAATATTATTTAAAAACTTAAAAATAATTGACCCGGAATCGCCGATGCTCAAGTTGGGAACCCTAACGATGAGTCAGATTACATATAGTGAGACAGAATAGTAAATGTATGATATCTGTTTTGAAATAATAAAAAAATATTTATAATATAACCGTATACATGATTTATCTATACTTAAAGTTTGATTTTCATGCATCCGTTGTCCGACGATACGTTGATACGATATTAATTTCATTGGTTGTATTTAAAGGCTTCGATTGGTTAACCGTTTCTAACCAACCGAAGTCTTTAAATTCAACCAATAAAATTAATATCGTATCATCGTATCGTCGGACAACGGATGCATGAAAATCAAGCTTAAATGGACGAGGCGGCGAGCGTTCCCTTAAAGCGCTAGAGTAATATCGTGCTTTTGATAACTGTCTGCAGCTGATTTAGCCACGATCTTTTTTCTGCCTTTTTGCATATGGCTTTTAAAATAAATAAATATAATATTCCACCAATCGGCATGCATTTTTTTCATTCTTCAAATTTCATTTTTTAATAATTTTTAAAATTTGATGCCTCTTTCGCGTTGTCTGTCGGCATTTTAGCGACTAGAAAAATGTCTGCTAACAATTTTCCACGTTTCTTAATAATAAATAAAAGCTATTTTCGCAATTATAACTCGTGTACCTTATAATATTTTTAGTGTCAAAATTTCACCCTTTCGATTGGCCGCCCCCGCGGGTTTTTCTGGTTTGTGTGAAAGCTCTTATGTTTTCGTTATCTGCCGATGACGTGGCCGGTTGGCTGTCAACAATGCAGTGAGATGTGTGAGAAGGCGGATAGGGGTCGATAGTTACATGGATTCATATCCATCCTGACCTACTCATCTGTACCATCACGGTCTTTCTGCCCAGGAGCAAGGGGAAAGACACTACCATGATATTACCTACTTGCTGAGCTTTGTCCAGGCTCAGAACTCCAATGTAAGGGCATCGCGAGTTGGCGAGTCATCAACTCGAAGGGGAATGTCATGGTCAGGTCCTCACACAAGAATTGATCTCAAATCCAATTGGTATCAAGTCCAAGGAGACACCAACTTAAAGAGGAGGGGAAAATGGAGACAGATCCTCCAGCCGCCACCTCACGGGTACCTCAGCAGGCGACAAGTTCCTTGATTGTGAAGGACACTGAGGGCCAAACCCCAACCGTGGAAGAGTGTATGTAAACCCTCGGAGGAAAAACATCTCTTGTCAGAGGAGGATGGAAAATACCCTGTGGGGACTACAACAGGAAAATCCTCATATGATCTCCACCGTATGATGAGTAATGGACTACATTCTACTCATCTCTAATTAGGAGTTAAAATGGGATTTTTGGGTATAAATCGCATACTTACTAACGCACGAGAAAAGAGAGTTATAACCTGATAAAATTTAAAAGTTGAACAGTTGAGAGTCGAGAGTCTATTACGCTGTACTGTTCGGGTCGCTCTTAGGAGTCGGGTAAAGCGGGTGTGTGGCCGAAGGAAATATATATTATATTTCAGAAATCTGCCTAAAGCGGGGTTTACATTGGTCAAGTTACTTGATTCAAGTTTACTTGAATCAAGTAACTTGAACGTCACTTGAACCGTGTAAACACTTCTGCAAGTGATTTTTTCCTCATTCAAGTAGTGCTTGACCCCTAGATTCAAGTGTCAAGTAAAAGTTGAACATGTTTGATTTTTGGAGTCAAGTTGGCTGCACTTGAAACAAGTAGGAAGGTCTTTGACCAGTGTAAACACACATTCAAGCTCACTTGCTTCAAGGATTAACCTAAAAATCTAGTGTCACATTGAGTGGTGTTGTTTTGTTGTTGTTTATGTTAAAAGCATCTTTATTTAAAAATGAGTTCAAAAGTGTTAAGTGGACAAGCGATCAAATTATTGAATTCCTGGAGGTGTATGAAAACTATCCTGTACTGTGGAACTCGGGTTTGAGTGAATATAAAAAATAAGAATTTAAGAGATGCCGGATTTAAAGGTTTGGTAGACAAATTGAAAACCAATTTTCCCGACATCACCTTGGATGTGGTAAGAGCCAAAATAAAAGTAATCAAAACCATTGTCAGTCAAGAATGCATAAAATTGCGAAATCCAAAAAATCAGGTTCAGCTGCTGATGAACTGTACGAACCTAAACTTAGTTGGTTCCATGCAGCAAAGTTTTTAATGGGTTGTTCGTCCAGCAGACCTTCTACTTCAACTCTGGTAAGTAAAAACTACATTTCTTTATGTCTACACATAATTTATTAATAAAATGCTTTCATATACTATAAGTTACATATTTACATACAAATATATTGCAGTAATAGTATTTTAACTGAGTACCTTCAGCATACAATATACAGGAAAGGCTAACATATATTACAATTGTAAAAACATTGCATTTACGCAGGTTAAACTGTATTATTACCCATATTTAGTTACAAAGTTAAAGGCTGTTCGATGGTTGATCAGCACCAATCTACTTCCATTGCCACGGTAGTGACCCTTCTTTTGAAGAGAAGAATTTTTCATACTGCTCTAAACGATTTGAGCTCACGTTTGTAAGCATTTGTCGAAGTCAGTTTCGATGTCCTCAGCAGACATGATGTATTGAGAGTGGTGCGCCATGTGCCTGGTATGATTGTGCATGTTGCCATGTCTTCCACATCTACAGATGAAGGATGAAGGTAATATTTCCCTGATGATTTGCGTAGCCAGTTGTGAAGTGCACAACAAGTTTTGACAACCAAATCTACAGTTTCAGGAATCAATGCAATAGGCCGTTCGAATACTCTAAATCTAGCAACTAAAATGCCGAAAGCATTTTCCGAAACTCTACGAGCTCTAGAAAGTCGATAATTGAATATTCTTTCTGAAATTGTTAAGTTGCGTTTGCTGAAAGGTTTCAGTACCGTAAAATGGGGTGAATAGAAACAGTTTCGTAGGCTATTACCGATATACCGGTTCATAAAAATGTGGTATTATTTTCCCGAATATTTTAAAACATGGGTCTTTGTTTGTTCTTTGCGTATACATATAATTAGATTTTTGAAAAATATGCATATAAATATTAAATAAAAATAACTTTTGTGTTTCGATTCACCTGCTATTCGGGAGAATAGAAACACACATTGATGTTAAGGTTTTTATCTATTCTATTTCCAACAAGGTGATTAGAAACAGATAATTATTACATATTTAAGTAGGTTTAGCAATAATTAACAATACATATAATATAACAACTTACATGTACCAGCTTAAGTATTACTTTAAAAATAAATATTTTATTTATAAAGTTTTCGCGCCATACAAAATAGGTGATAAATCGATCACACATTTATTGATCAGCTGATTGACAGAAACAGTGCTGCCACAGATAAAAATATAGTTTTTACATTTTATTGTGTATTACCAATGATAGAAAAATTAGATATGTCGACTCTTTTTACATTGAATATTTTTAATCTTGATTTGATTTTTTTCAGAAATTTTGTTTCTATTCACCCCTATGTTTCTATTCACCCCATTTTACGGTATGTCCTTTCTTAGAGGAAACGCATCATCTGCAACAATAACGGCATTCTGTGGTAAATTTAGGGTGTTACGTTATTGAAAAACTGCACCATCATTTGACTTTCCATTAGCACCGACATCTATGTATAAGAAATTGTATTCGGCATCAACTAATGCGAACAGTATGATGCTGAATGTACCCTTGTAATTGTAGTAATTCGAACCGCTCTCAGCAGGGCACTTTATTTGGACATGTTTCCCATCAATGGCTCCTATGCAATTGGGAAAGTTCCACTGCACTTCAAATTTGCGTTGCACCAATTCCCACTCTTCCTTTGTACTTGGCACCTGAAAAAAAAATGTATTGCCACAATTTTTTCATAATATTTCTATTATTTTGTACAGTTATTCTGTTTCATTTCAGGATAAGGAAATCCAAATTCTGCCTACACTGACTGACGCATCTGAGACTGACGATATAGAGGATGTGGATTCTCCAAGTTCTCCAATTGTTCAACCACAACCAAAAAAAACTAAATCTCAAACACCTGGAATGCAGCCTCCACGCTCCAAAAAGCAAAAAATATCCGAAATACATGCTGTTGAACACATAGTTGATAAACTACATGCAATATCACAAAACGTTAAACCAGCTGGCAAAAATGGTTCTGTGAGACACACTAGTGATGAACTGTCTCATTTTGGAGAGTACGTTTCAGCACAATTGGGGCAATTAAACCCAATTGATTCTCTTAATGCTCAAAAAGCTATCCAAGACATTCTTATAGCTGCAAGAATCAAATCATTGAATCGAAACATGCAAATTCACAGATATTCTTCACTATCACCAACCATAGCTACCTCTGTATCTGGATCTGACAGAACTGATGTGGAAGATATTCATTACCAAGACAATTCAAACGACTTACTTTCTCCTGCTTTGCAAACCAGTTTCTTACTAGAAACCGACAAAGAACAAAATGATTCCGACAATTTTCTGGTCTTTCAAGAAATTGTTGTTGACAAGAACAATTGTAATTATGAAATTATTTAAAAATTAATTGACATCCTACTTGTAACAGTAAACATAATTATAAAATATAATGTGTTTTTTGTTTACCTTAATATATTCTTCGAGTACTTCGTAAACCGCTGCCAAAACTTCAGGTAGGAATTTGCTGATTGAACTTTTTGGCACTCTGTATAGATACTGCAAAGAAGCGAAACTGTCACCAGTAGCTAAATACCTTAAGGTTATTTCAAGTTTAGTTTTTGCCGGTATTGCTAGCCTGAACATTGTATCCTTTTTTTTAATCTTCTTTTCAACCAAAGTCAAAAGTTCATCAAACCTTTGTGGTGTCATTCTTAGGTGGTTTCTGTATGAATCCACGTCCTCTACAGCTAATTCTCTGAGTAAGCTGTTTGAGGCTCCAAGAATTAATCTACGACTAATCCAACTCCGTACCCATACTCTTCCTCTTCTTCTTTCATTTTTTCTTAATGCATTTACTGTAACATCGCTTACTAATGGTACTACCAGTGCAACGACTTGACGGAGAGCATCAGCTATATCATCAGGAGTGACGGCCATTTTCACTGCAGACAACCAAAACAATCCCTCCACTTGAATTCAAGTTTGCAAAAATCGTTCATATAGTGTAAACACCAAAATTGATTCAAGTTGACTTGACTCAAGTTAACTTGATTCAAGTAACTTGACTAATGTAAACCCCGCTTAAGGCTTAGCCCGATCCTGTCGTGTTAAGCCATACCCAAAATTCAGATTGCAGAGTAGACGTGGGCAAAGATTGAACGAGTATTAAAAATGAATCGTGAGCAAAGGTGAGATTCGATTAATTGCTTGCAACCCGGTGCGTTCAATTGAATCGTGGCCAGCACGGATCCATAACATCTGAACGATGAGCCGTAAAAAAGAACGTGAGAATTGAATCGGATCACAATGCGATCGTGCGTTCAAAGAGTCGTGAGAATTGATTCATTGCTTACAATACGGTTCGTTCAATTGAATCGTGACCAGCACGGATCCATAAGATTTGAACGATGAGCCGTAAAAAAGAATCGTGAGAATTGAATTGGATCACAATGCGGGTTCGGCCAAGTTTGCCCCTTGTTTGCCCCCCGTACTAGAGGAAATTTAAAAATAGATACCATTATTTTGCACACATTTTGCACAATTTTGCACACCGTAAATTACATTTTGCACACTTACCTAAGAGCATCTGTGACTAAATTGAATTTTGTTTATATCAAACGAATCGGATAATTTTGCACAATTTTGCACACCATTCTGATTATGAAGTTATGAGGGTTTGACAATTTGCAATTTCCCCCTATCAGCTACGAAGTTGAATTTTGTTTATATCAAACGAATCGGTTAATTTTGTACAATTTTGCATAGCTTTCACCTTTTCGATAAGTTATAGGATAACCGAGATATGAACGGTGTCAAAAACTGCAAAATTTTCAAATTTGACCGACATTTATCAGGAAGTAAGAGGGCTAGGACAAATCTGTGTGTAGAATCTTTAGTTTCATAAATGTTCTTCTCTGCAAGCTATAAATTATCGAAAAGGTGAAATCTAAGTTCCGTACAGTTTTTCACGTCGCTGAGATCTATCATTTTCGAAATATAACTCATACTTATGTTTTTATAAATGGGACATTTCACACACAATGGGACAAATTTGTTTGTGTTACTTTCAATGAAGGTGCGCACACTAGCCAGAGCCGCACGAATCGCATCGACGAAAATGCGGCCAGCATTATTGGGCCAGAATGATTTTCGATAAATGCGGCTGGTGCTGCTGACGTCACAGGCAATTCCTTCCACTCTACGTAGGTAACCGAAGAGGAGATTAGAAATTCAATATGCTAAGAAAGTTCGCAAATTTTTCATGGTTCATATTAAAAAAAATTTAGTTCATCCTCAATTAAATATGGAAATAATGTGGATTTTTGCAAATATTGTGAACCTTGAACTTTCGATTCTTACTCATGATTTCTTCTTCTTCTATTAGCAAGGAGCTTGTAATTGTTTCTTGTTCGTTATCATTCATTGTCGAGAAATATTAAAAAAACACGCTTATCACCGCAGACAGGACTCCGGAAGCGACTGATGAGAAATTCGATTGGCAAATACGGGTGTCGTAGGGGCAAAAAGAAACAAAATAGCGAATAATGCGGCGCGTGCGGCGCGTTCGGTACGGCCCAGTGTGCGCGACAAGAAAAAAAAGTGCGATTGGTGCGACGCGTGCGGCGAGTGCGGCTCTGGTCAGTGTGCGCGTACCTTAACAGTGTTCAGTCGCCAAATCCTAGTCTCCATCGAATAGTAAAAGTAGCGCACCAAAAAACGAAAATTCCATGTGGAATATTTTTGGAAAATTCCATATTATGGTATAGTTGCAATCTAATTTAATCACTCTCTTTACAATATACCTACGTTGAACTTAAAATTCTATATAAATGTCATGTTTTAGTATACAGCTTAAGAGATTACATATGCACCCTCACAAGGCTTGCGTTGTCGTTTGTGCTATCGGCTTAGATAAGTGAAACATTTTTTTATATGAGGCTATCGGCGCAAAAACGGTCTAATTCACAAAAGCTCGTTTTGAGAAAATTTGGAATAAAGTTTAGTGACAATAAAACGCTACTAGTTTAATTTTCGAACAATTAATTGAAATTTTGCTGCAAATATTTGCCTAAAGACCTAATGAACTAAAATTTAGACATAAGTATACTAGGGCTGGCATTTCTGGTCTTGGGTGCCGATTTTCGTGTGTACGAAGAGTACGCAAAAACAAGATGTACTGAATAAAGGCAGAAGGCAAGTACCGTAAAATGGGGTGAATAGAAACAGTTTCGTAGGCTATTAGCGATATACCGGTTGATAAAAATGTGGTATTATTTTCCCGAATATTTTAAAACATGGGTCTTTGTTTGTTCTTTGCGTATACATATAATTTGATTTTTGAAAAATATGCGTATAAATATTAAATAAAAATAACATTTGTGTTTCTATTCACCTGCTATTCGGGAGAATAAAAACACACATTGATGTTAAGGTTTTTATCTATTCTACTTCCAACAAGGTGATTAGAAACAGTAAATTATTACATTTTTAAGTAGGTTTAACAATAATTAACAATACATATAATATAACAACTTACATGTACCAGCTTATGTATTACTTTAATAATAAATATTTTATTTATAAAGTTTTCGCGCCATACAAAATAGGTGATAAATCGATCTCACATTTATTGATCAGCTGATTGACAGAAACAGTGCTGCCACAGATAAAAATATAGTTTTTACATTTTATTGTGTATTACCAATGATAGAAAAATTAGATATGTCGACTCTTTGAATATGTTTAATCGTGATTTGATTTTTTTCAGAAATTTCGTTTCTTTTCACCAGTATGTTTCTTTTCCCCCCATTTTACGGTATTTTCCCAAGCGCATGGAATCTAGCGTCAGATTAAGTGGTTATGTAATACTCCGTACTTTTGCTCTCTCCGACTTACTAGATTGCCATAGCGATTCACTCCTATATATGTAAACGCGGACCCAAGGTTTCGCTTGCCAGCAGGGTATGAATAAAAAATAATGTTGATTACTAAAAAAATGTGGAATAGGTCGTTTTTCTTTATGAATTTACTAGCGTGTACCAGCGACTTCGTTCGCGTCGAATTACTCATTTGTAATGGTGATGATAAAGCAAAGCAAGAATTTCCATTAACATACAAACTGGATAAAATTTTCTCATATTTATGTCAGCATAAGAAAAAACAATATGGCGATATTATTATATAACTTGGTAATATTTGAGAGGTAGTTTCATCTCGTTGGAATTTGACTTTCGAAAATTCCGTTTGCCAAAAATAAGCTTTTTAAGTCAAGCAGTTTAAACAGAATCGTGGTTAAGAAATTACCCAACTTTTTGGAACACCCTGTATGATTTTTTAAAAAAATTCAAAATATGTAAAAAAAAACAAATAAATTATGCTTGTCCAAGCGTTTTCCCGAAATACTAACCGTTTTTTAAATAACAAATATTGTAATATTTGAGGGGCGTTTTCACCCTCTTGGAATTTGAGATTCGAGAGACCCCTCCTTAACGAACCTCTACACCCCACAGTCAATCCGTTTGCCAAAAATCAGCTTTAAACGTCAAGCAGTTTAAGCAGAATCATGATTACTCAATGGTCATATTTTATGAAACACCCTGTATAAATTTATAAAAAAATCTTAAAATATGTAAAACAACAAAATAAAATACACGTGTTTAAGAGTTTTTCCGAAAAACTCACCGGTTTTTAAATAAAAAATATTTTAATATTTGAGGGATAGTTTCACCCCCTTAGAATTCGAGTTTCGAAAAATCCCTTCTTATCGAACCTCTACACCCTAAAGTCAATCTGTTTTCAAAAAATCAGCTTTTTACGTCAAGCGCTTTAAGCAGGATCGTGATTAATCAATGACCAGATTTTTCGAAACACCCTGTATACATTTTTAAAAAATCTTAAAATATGTAAAAAAAGAAAATAAAATATACGTGTTTAAACGTTTTTTCGGAAACTTGACGGTTTTTTTTTTAAAAAATATTGTAATATTTGAGGGGTGGTTTCACCCTCTTGGAACTGGAATTTCGAAAAATTCCTTCTTATCGAACCTCTACACCCTAGAATCAATCTGTATGCCAAAATTGAGCTTCTTACGTTGAGTGGTTTGAGCAGGATCGTGATTAATCAGTATGTCAGTCACTTAAGGATTTTATTTATTAGTATAAGCACAGATAACACATAATCTGATTATGTGTTATCTGTGGTATAAGTATATATGGATCTAGGATTAGTATAGATTTGCAAAGTTAGTAGGCCAGTATTAAGTAAGATCTAAGTATAAATCTGAATTATTGGTCTGTGACTATATTTTACCTATGCGTGAGGACCAGCTTAAAATCATGTCAATCTTGTAAAAGTAATTTGATTGTTTCAAACATTAGTGTCATCTAATATTATTACATTCTGTCTATAATTTTATAATAATTTTAAAAATATGGAGAAAGACTGTATGTATTTAGTACAAGGAAGAAATTCATCTATGATGTTACAAAAAATTTTGATACTTATTCAAAACCAGATAACAAAGAATGACACGGAGAGGTTACTGACTATAATCAAACAATTTTTGTGTTTGTCTACAGATGGATTTGTATCCTTTTTAAATGTGTATTTTATTAAGAATTTATATTATTTGGAGAAGGAATTGATATATAATTAACAGGGGAAACAAATATTTTGTATTGAAATAATTTTCTTTAATACATATTAGTATGTTCAAGATCTGTACAATATTACCCATGTTGTCGATATATTAATGGAGAAAAGTAAACAAGAATCTGTATATATTAAGCATCTAGATACGTTTTTAGAGATATGTTCAATTCCACCTCTTTTAGTAAAATCAAGTGATATTATTAGATATGCTTTGGACATACAAGAATATTTTTCCTGGTTAGGTAAGTCTTAAAGATTTTCCTTAAATAAAAAAAATCTAAATGTCAACAGACACAAAATACTTTCTTGAGCCAACATTGTAATTTTGAAATTTTACACTGACGCTGGCGCCGCGCGCCGGTGTATAGTTCACGATTGGGATTAGGCACACTGAACACTATTTTGGACAAGTTGTTACACAGGCAACTTAGGGGTAATAATATAAATTGGTAATTGCGATAAAAAAAAGTAGTACAACAAAATATGATTTAATCTGCTGGTCTATAATAAAATAAAAAAAAATGAAAAATTGCCCATTTTTAAAAGGTAATTCATGGTAACGCCTAAAAAGTTAGGTGGCATAATAGAAATGTTCACAAAAAAATTAAAACGTGCCTACTTCTCATAAAATCATTCATTATGACATTAAAACTCAGTATGCAAAGTTTCATAACATTCCGTAAAAGGCTTATGCCTCAAAAATCCGTGCGAAATTATCGTAATCGTTTGAATCCGCTAAACGCTCACCTATTGGCCTGACGTCACTGCTTCGATCGGTATTTCCGCGCGAGTAAACGGTGCTTTCTGCACGCTGTGGAATTTCTAACTGAACAAACTAGAATACAACATATCGCGTTGTGCTCGGATGTAGTTTGTATATTAAATTTGGTTTATTGTTATTAATATTTGGCGTTTATTACTAGTTTAAAAACAAAGCTGAGAAACTTAGTGATATGGAGGACGGGTTTACTTGAAAGCGATAACAAACAACACTTGGTTTTTAACAATGCAAAATTATTGAGTTTTTGAGCTGTCAGAGGCCCGTATTTAGGAGGAGGGGGCCAAATTTTAAATTTTAATTATCATATTAAACTGAAAATTTGAATGCGTATATAGAAGCTAAGACAATGTAAAATTATCGTATTGTTGATTTGATACAGGGCCGTATTAAGGAGAAGGAGCCAAATCTTAAATTTTAATTGTATTGACCTGAAAATTCGCACACGTATACAGGGTCTCCAGTTTAAAATGAGGTACCTACATGGGGAATAATGGAGATCTTGAAGACCGTTAAAGTTACAAGATCGGTTAAATAGAAGAAAAGTTGCGTTTTTTTGTGTCCAAAAATAATCTAGGTCTATTTTCTTTTCCTATGGGCGCCATATTGAAATACATGGTTGAAAACATTTTTAATAAGGATTTTTAAAATGCCAAATTTAAATAATAATAATAATAAAACAATGAAAATAAACAATACACCTTCGCGAACGTCTGCAAAAACAATGCGGCAAGTGCATGATAGTACGGACGCCATCGATCGATCAAAGCAGTGACGTCAAAAACAGGTAGCCTCGAGCTGAGTCCGTTTTCTAGCCTTGCTGCATTTCTCAATTTTGTTTTGCGGTTACGTGAGAAAATTATAGTTTTCAAGAAAAATTTTGAGTGCCATGTTTTTTTACTCATGTGTAGCTATCGAAATTCATTGAAATTAGAAATTAGTGAACATGTCTATTTCGACGATATCCACTTCTCGATATCCTTATAGACCAGGAGTTCTATCTGGGACTACTAATTAATAATAATAATAAATGTCTTTATTTAGTACCCAAGAAAAACAAATACAAAATATCATAATAAAAGATGCGGCGAGATCTAGCACAATGCTACTCCATCTAACCGCACTGTTAAATATAAGCTTAACAACTAAATTCTAAGTCTAAGTTTTTTCGTGAGCAGTAACTAATGACACTAAAAGATTATAGAAAACAATAATATGATAGCAAAGGCGAGCATTAAGTGAACAAACTAAAAACAGAAATAATTATAAGTTATTTTAAAATAATACTCTCGACGAAATTAAATACTTCTCTCATTCACATAATGACGCTTGACAGCCTTCCTGAATGAGCCAACAGAGGGCCTGCATAATACACTATTTGGTAAACCATTAAATATTTTTACAGCAGAATAACTAAATGAGCCTCGAAACTTGGAAGTTCTATGTTTAGGTACAACAAAATTTCGGGAGTTACGCGTTGCCCGACCGTGGATACTATTATTAGTAATTAATTTGTCATATAAGTATTTAGGGAGTTGACTGTGACGAACTTTATAAACAAGGGTAGCTAAGTGAACATTGAATCGTTCGTCCAATGTTAACCAGTTGGACGCCTCTAACAATGGGGTGACATGGTCAAATTTTCTTTTGCCAAAACTAAACTTTAAGCAGGCATTTTGAAGCTTTTGTAGGCTATATCTATTTCTTTGTGTAATGGCTGGCCAGAATAAAACATCACTATAGGAGATCATAGATAACACCAAAGAATTAGTTCACCTTAACTTAATATCAGTAGATAGAATATTTGCATGCATGTAAAGTACTTTTAATTTATAATAAGCTTTTTGCAGGACGCTGGACACATGATTTTCAAATTTAAGTTGGTTATCCAACAATATGCCTAAGTTTTTTCACAGCTTGAAGGTACAACTAGTGTGCCATCAATAATAACTTCCATACATTGATGATCAGGCATGCCAAATAACAACAATTTGGATTTGCTTCCATTGAGTACCAGCTTGTGAGATTTAGACACCTTTACAATCGTATCAAGATCTGAATTAATATTTCTTAAGGCATTATTGACATTAGATAATTGAAAAGAGTGGTATATTTGGGTGTCATCAGCGTATTGATGAGATTTACAAACAGTTAAAAATTTGCTAAAGTCGCAGGTGTACAAAGAAAATAATAAAGGTCCTAGTATACTACCCTGTGGGACACCCTGGTTGACATCTGTGTACTCAGAAAACGTAAATGCCAGCCGTACTCGTTGTTTCCTATTGCTTAAATAATTATTAAAAAGTATAAGAGCGGAATCATGGAGACCAAAATATTTTAGCTTGGTGAGAAGTAAATTATGATCAAGGGTATCAAACGCTTTGCTGTAGTCCAACAGTACAAGTGCAGTCACATTTCCACTGTCTAATGAACGAAAAATATCATCACAAACATGCAAGAGCGCTGTTGTGGTGCCATGCCGCGCTCTGAAACCCAGATTGTGTCACGGGTATTATAGAATTATTTAGAACAAATTCATTAAGTTGTGTAAACATAATTCGTTCTAATATTTTAGAGAAAATAGGTAGAATATACTTATAGGACGATAATGAAAAAGTTCAATAGGAACGTCATTTTTGGCACCGGTATTACATCTGCCATTTTCCAGCTTAATGGAAATGTGTTTGAAGAAAGACCTTTATTAATGATATAAGTTATGTAAGGTGTCAAATATGGAATCAATAAAGTAATCATTTTTATGTCGATGCCATCAGAGGCAACAGAAGATGTTTTAATTGAATATATGATTCTTTCAACTTCAGCTTCATTAACTTCTTCAAATTTAAAAGCATTGTGAACATTTGGATGAATTTTATTAGAATATTTATCTATAAATTGATTATTATTTGTCACTCCTATTTGAGGAATGCTGCTAATGAAAAAGAATTAAGCTGATCAGCCGCATCAGAGGTCTGAGCAAGGCAGATGCATCGGAGCTTTTAGAAGTAATGTTAAGGTTATTTAAAGTTTTCCAAAAGAAGCAGGATCTAGTCTAAATTTATATTCAAGATAAGCTTTTTTTCGTTCCGTACAGCACTTGTTACCAGATTACGAAGCTGCTTGTATTCATATAGAGAGGTATCAGTTTTAACTTTTTATATCTTGTGAGAGCCTTCTGGCGCAGCTTCATCATAAATTTGATATTATCGGTAATCCAGGGAGCGGGGGTTTAGAAAACCTAGATGTTTTAAGTGGTGCATGTATATTAAATACGTCTGTTATATTTTTTGAAAAAAAGTAATCATCTGATCAATATTAGTCATATTAAATATGTTTTGCCAGTTCACGTTAAAAGATCATTCACAAAATCTGTAAGAACAAAATGTGAATAATCACGATAAGTGCGATAGGAAATGGGCACACGATTTTTTGAAGATCTAAATCTGTTAATACTAGATGATGGTCAGATATATTATCCATATTAATAACCTGCACATCTGATATTAGTTTTGGGTTAGATGTAACCAAAACATCAATTAATTTACCCCCGAATTGAGAAATACGAGTGGGCGACTGCACTAATTGCGTTAAATTATATTTATTGAAGAACTGATTAATGGCAGAGCACCCAGGGCTTCCCGCTTCCAACATATCCACATTCAAGTCACCGCCAAACATGACAACATCGCAATCAGGCAAAAAACTAACAATGGCATTCTCCAGATCATCCAGAGAAGATGCCAAATTGGCCATGGGGGTCGATATAATGTCCCGAAGCAAATAATTTTACCATTTATTTTAGTACGTATCCAAAGTTGTTCCAGGGCACTCTGCTGGGCAGATGTATCGATTACCTGAAATTTTAAAGAATTGACAACATAAAATGCCACTCCGCCACCACGGCCATCTCTGTCTTTGCGAACGAGATTATAGTTATGTATTTTAAAATTGTTGCTACTCAAAGGCTCACTCAACCATGTTTCCGAGAGACCATAAATATCAAACGCCTCTGCCGCCACATAATCAGAAAACTGTCGAAATCTGAACATAGTGATCTTATATTAAAATGAGAAAAATAAAATTTATTTTTATTACTGCTCGCCGAAGCCATATAAGACGCTAAACAAAAGTAATGTGCACAGAAAATTTAAAAGAGAAATAGCTCTACAATAATGAGATATAATTCTCGTTCAGCGAATAAATACGAGCCCAACAGATATTAGATTAAAAAAAATAAAAATAAATCAAGCATACAACGGTATAATCAAAAACAAGGTAATAAAACAGTACATATCTGATGAACTTATAACGAAGTAAAAATATTCTATCATTATATTGTTTTTTTTTTTTTTTACAATGAGACCATAGAAACAAAAAAGAAATATCTAACATTTTTTGTCGAATAAATTCTCTACAGCGAGAAAAAATGAAAATTTTATAGTTAAAGAATCACAATAGTACTAT